GTAATACTTATGTGACGCGCATGGAAGTTTGAACGCCGAGCGCAGCGAGGCGAATCAAATCCATGAAGAATACTTATATTCCGAATGAAATACAATATTTTATTTTCATTTAACGAATTCGGAAATACAATTGACAATTTCTGATCTACAAATATTCAATCTGAAAGGCAAATGACGTTTTATGAAATACAACTGACAAAGTTGAAATACAAATAACCCTTTCTGAAATTAAACTCACAAAACTGGAATACAATTGACGCATTCTGAACTAGAATTGATGAATCTGAAATACAAGTGATACATTCTGAAATACTTATGGAAAAGGGGCAGGCGCAATAGGCGTATCAAAAAACCAGATAAGTTAGATTTTTCCCGGTTAATATTGTAATTTGACATTATAGTAGGCTTAATTTAATTATAGGGAGATCTGACCTATGGTTCTGACTACACATAGAATGATAAACAAAAACAAGTGTCTAACAGTCCAACTTTCAAATAAGTATAGAAATTATAATAAACATTGTCAAATGTGCTTGTGCAGTTTCATGCAGTAATTTGAATATTGTTAATAAAAAGTACACTTTAAATACTCTACATAGTATGGCAGAATAGAACAACTTGCATCAGTCACATCTTCTATTGGGCTTCTCTTGGTTGTATTTTCCGTTGGAGAGCTTTTCAGGTGAAATAGTTCCTGTTGAGATTATTTGTATTTCTTCATGAATATTTCATTATTAGTAGTCAGGAGCTCCGCATTTTCACTTGAATTAATTATTTCGGTGATTTTCCTCCGATGAGAACACTTCATCCTCAGTCTACTGTCTGTCTCTTCGTTCTCCCTAAAGACTCCTCTATATTATTTTTTTCTTTATTCAGGTTCGCAATTTCGTCATCCTTAGAATTGATTTCTTGCTTCTGCTTACTTATAATTCTTTCCATTCTCTCCATTTCCAGTCTTATGTTTTTGTTCCCCAAACATGTTTTCTTAAATAATAATAAGGCTCAGCTTATTTGGACTTTACTTTGAAATTTCTAAATCAAAAGCCAAACAGTTCGATGCCTTCCGCATCATGTTTTTTCTTACTGCTTGATCAAGGTACTGGTCTTCTGTTGGGTTCAATCACCACAGAAAAATGGTATTTTGCAAGATAGGTATGGTGCAGAATCTGGCGGAACCTCTAGGCTGATTCTTCTATGTGCCTGGTTAAATGGTTGAGGATCTTCTGTATTCATTGGCCATCATGAATTTATCATCCGCATATTGAAATTTCATTATCGATGTCGTCGATACTTTCGTCTTTGCTCGTAATCTGTTTAGGATGAATGAGCCGCCATCAAGTCTGTACAGGATTTCAACTCTTGACTCTTGACTGCAGGTAACCCTCGACAAGGTGAAGTATAGATCCTATATAAATACAGAAAATAAAGTCGGTGCAATAACACAGCCCTGCTTAACGTCCGAAATTATCTTAAATCTTGTCCATCGTTGCTTAAGACGGTTGCATTCCTATTATCATGCAGTATGCGGAGTATCTGGATTCTGAATCTGAATTTCACCACTGTCTGACGACTACGTACTTCCAATGGCAAAATGGATTCTTTGAGCAGACAGATGGAGTCGCAATGGGGAGTCCACCCAGCCCGGTTATCGCCAACTTCTACATGGAACACTTTGAACAAATGGCATTGCGAACGGCCACTTAGAAACCTACTTGTTGGTTTCGCTATGTAGATGACACTTTTGTTGTTTGGAACCATGGACAGGCATAGAGCTCAAAAACTTCCCTAATAATCGAAACTGAATAGAACCCATGATACAGTTTACCATGGAAGTTGAGAAGGACAACAAAATTGCATTCCTCGACGTTCTCTTAGAGAGATTACCCTCAGGGACACTGAGACACAGAGTATATAGGAAGCGACGCATACGGACAGATACCTCACAAGAAATCCAATCACCATCCTAAGCAAAAGAGGGGAGTCAATAAAACTCTATCTGACGGGGCAATCCGGATTTGTGAAACCAGATACCTTGTTGACCACAAATTGATTGAAAAGTAGCTAATAATTAAATTTGAGGGAGTGACTGAAGTGAATGGGTAACTAGAACAAAAAAAAAATAAATAAATAAGAAGAGCGAGTTGGCTGGCGGCTGAAATGTAGAAACGTGACTTCGCGTGAAGGGTTGCCAAATAGCTTCCAATGCGGAGAGGAGTGTGGGTCAATTAAATAACTAAATATAGAGCGCCACCTGCTTTTCCCTGTAGTACACGAAATCAACCGATATAACGAAAGCAGGAAACTTCTACGGACCTATAGCAGCACAACCTGAAATATAAACGTAAACAAGAAGGGAGGACAAAAGTGAAACGCTTTGCTACAATCAGGTACGGGTTTTTAATTAGAACCAGAACAGAATAGGTTTGACTCCAGAGCAGGTTCGGAGTGGGTTTTCCGACCGCCCTAGAACACTGAAAATTATTCACACTGGAACCAGAACAAGAAAAGAAATCGTCTCGGAGTACCTAACCATATGTTCTTAAAATAGTATTTAGAATAGTTATTAATTACACTCAACTTGTGTCCCTAAATAAAGAAATAAAGAGTATTGTATAACAATTAACAGCAATAATACCTGAAATATAAATTAATAAATAAGCTTACTAAATGCAGTACCTTCGTACATGGCCATTTAACCCCAGTGTACAAGTATTTCCTGTATTCAGTGCAGCATGTATTTATGGGATAGTTATTAGAAAAATATAGATCAAACCTGAGTAGTCCCTAATCTCTGGGGGAACCTGACGGATGGGATTAATATCTTTCAGTGTTTCCGATGGCCTGGGACTGGATCCGGGCCGCAACAAGAAGCAACTGGCCCTGGGCACTGAAGTTCAGTAGCTAGGAGTCACTAAAGCTTCCAGTGGTCTAGAGGAGGCTGAAGATAGGAGGTACGACTTGAAATATATAAGCCTAACGTATAACCCTTTACTGGAAGTTAGGGACTAAAGTGTTACGACTAAAACGTGACGTCTAAAAGGTGATGAATAAAGGTGATGATAAAGCGTAACGTTTAAAGGCCTGAAACAAATGGACATTATGAAACTAGGCGAGGAGCGACAGGTAGGTATGTCCAATATTCGGAATTTAACCATATAATTAACAGAAAATTATGCTTTTACATAGGCAATAGAGAAACACAGAGAAAACGAATAAGAAAACAACTTACCAAAATACTTTGGCCTTTAGGAACAAACAATTGATCACGTTGCCCTTTTTCGGCTCACAAAGAAATCCGCACAAGGCGCTTTGGTGCTAAAATAACGGATTATCCACCTTAGATTTATGAGCGAAACTTGGCAACGCAGAAATCAGCAAAATGTGCCTGAGGAGTTTTCCCGAACACTTAATCGTGGAAAGTCCTCGACCTGAATGACCTCTGCTTGTCCCTGCAATGTCCTTTAAAAAGGCTCTGTCAAAACTCCAAGGTGAAGGGTTCTGGGGATTTTGATGGTAGTTGGGGCATGGGATTTATTCATATTAAGTTAGTACTGGTCATTGACCCTATTTGGAGCGCTGTCCATCTAGTCAATCTGATCGGATCAGATAGTTAGCTGTTCTAATGTAAATATTGTGATTTTGTTTATTAATAAATTAATTGTCTATTTATTTTAACCCTACTAACTGGAAATCAATTCCATTAATAAATCTCTAACTTAATGATTCTGGGAGAATGAAAAGTTTGATGAAAAGTGTGGCCACAACTATTGGATAGAAAACAGTGGCTTGAGGAAGGTATGCTATTCAGAGAGGCGAATAAGCTTATTTCCTTTTATTTTGGCCCAGGAAAAATCATCCCGTAACAACCTTCAGGACGAGATGCAACGCCTAAAATCAGCACTTGTAGGAAATGAGTACTCCAAGCAGGAGATAAATAGAGCTATAAGACCGAAGCAACAGCGCTCAAATGATAAGGAACCAACACAGGTGGCAGGGAGAGCCTTTCTTCCCTATATCAAAAATATCACAGATCGCATAGGACGAACGCTAGAAAAACACGACATTAAGCCCATCTACAAGCCCACAAGAACAGTTCAGCAAAGTCTAATATCGGCCAAGGATCCTAGGGCACCTCTTGAAACGGCTGTTGTCCATAGAATTCCCTGCTCTTGTGGATCTGTCTATGTAGGAACAACCAAACGTTCTATCAACACCAGGGTCAAAGAGCACAACAAACTGTCAGCAGGGAAAAATAGATCAGCGATCGCCGAACACGTGTTAACACAAACCAACCATATCATTCGTTTCAACTAGACTCAAGCATTGAATGGGAGCAAACATTTTTACACCAGGCTCCACAGAGAAGCCATAGAGATACAGAAACACCACAACAACTTCAACAGAAAAGAAGATGGTATGAATTTTAACAAAAGCAGGTTGCTAGTTCTCCGAAAAACAAAGACCCTTCTTTTTCGAGAACGAGACAAGGAAAATAGCGTAATACAAGCCATACCCACAACCCTGAATATAAATAACGCAGGTCCAACAACGTCGAATCCAATCATCGGAGGAACACGGAAGAGAATACTTCGTCCTCTACCACACCGCCTCTAAAGATGTCTACCGCAGCAGTAGATGAAACGTTAGGTAGAAATATTACTCGACCACGGCATTATAGCCCGGAAAAACTTTTTTACTATATCTGGATTCTGTTGACGGAATCAAATGCTTTTACTTAATATAAGAAGACTGGATTTCTCTCGCATTTGTCTTGCACTGAAAATCATGTCAGCTGTACCTCGGTTGGGTTTAAAGCTACAACACTGTGTCTCTGGGAGGTTCTCTTCGGCATATTCATTCGGCTTTATTTATTAATAAAAATCCACATTCTTCAACTCCTCTACTAGCTCTTATAATGACAATGCTCAAAAACTTATCATTTTGTGCACGAATTTTTGAGGATAATTTTCCAATAAACCTACAAATCTTATTGTTTTCAGCAAATAACAGTGACCATTCTACTCTAGAATCCACCCGATCAATCATCGCCAGCAAACAACCAGCTCCATCATCATGACGATGGTGAACGAGTGGTTGAGTGGCACTTGGCTGGGCGCGTGGATTCAACGCTGCCGAGAGTCCCGCCGCCTCGTGCTGGTTATCGTCGCCATTGCGCTGCTCTTGGACAACATGTTACTCACCATCGTTGGTAAGAACAATTTATTCATTTATATTTATAACATATAGATTGAGGAATTCATCTTTACCATTGTGTGACACACTGTATATTAATATTATTATCAGTTGATTATTAGTGTCAGTTACATGACAGTGAGTTAGAAATAATATGCATTCTGATAGGGTTTGATTGTATGTACACGCTTATAAAATAAGGTCTTTGAAAACTATTACGTTATTAACATAATATAATTCAACAACCTTTATTTCTTATAGCGGAGATTTGATACTAAATGTCACTTGATACGTCAAAATTGTCGAAACGAATACGCGAGTAGCAAAGAGTTCTTAGATATCGTTTTCTACATAGTAGGTACGTCTTGCTTTAGATCCCAGAAAACAAAACAAGATTAAGATATAAACAAACGTCATTTGTCATTTTATCGGTTGACAATTGACATTGGAGCTATTATACTATCTCTCAACCGATAACCAGTGGCGACTTATCTGTTCCTATTGAAGTCCCTCATACAGTTGTTGGCTTAAAAGTTCTAGTATAAACTGCGAGTAAGTTGATATGCACGAAACCCCATGAATACTGTTGTTTATATCTCCGTCTGCGTTGAAAATGTCATCATTATGAAGTTAATTGACGCAATTATGAAAGCGTCTAATAGAATTTCACAATAAGCCTCTGTCAGACAAAAGAGCCTCCACTCTCTCTCTCTCTTTCAGTGAAAAAATAATTGCATTAGTGAGGGAGTATAGTCGATTTTATGTGCAGCGCATAGAACGCGTTTTGATTGCCGTGCCAGAGAGATCCATAACTTCATTTTAATGTCATAATAAATTCTTAGTCATAAATTTTGCTTTTAGTGTTAAGCCTCCGCTCCGGTCATTATATTCAATCTAAAGCGTTTTTTGATAGAGATTTCGATTTTTACAAAAGACTTAAGGGACAATTTTACGGCGTTTTATATTTCCATTAGCCGTTTGTCTTCAACCACACGTTTCAGTCAAAGTCTAAAGTCAAAGGCCAATTAACATTCGTCTCCAAAATGACGACGATAATTGTAACGACAAGGCATATAACTTATCTGACGAAAACTCACAGACAGTCAAGTCTACATGCCTCAGTTAATCCTTTCAGGATTTTCGTAAGACGAGCGCAAAGAGAAAGACAGTGGGAACGTTGTTAAAAGGACAACTCTAGAATGATAAAATTAAAGGGGAATTGACCATGAGATTACATGTTATCGGGAGATCTGTTTGAAGGACGAATTTTGATTCACCCTTAATAAATACAGTGTCTTATTACAAGGTTTGTAAATGTTTTATGTCGGTCTTCACCATCGTCTGTTAAGTGATATCAATTAATTCAATCATTTTGTGATGGTGAGTTAACCAAAAAAACTTTCATTTAATTATACGATATTAATATAAAATATATACTATTATTTTATTACATACCGAGGTGGAAAGTGTTTCACTAAAATCTCCAGACTTCGGAGGAAAGTAAACTTTCAATCCGTGGGTGGAAAGTAAAAGTCAAAAAAGTGAAATTTTCAAACTTTTTAAAAGTCAGAAAAGTCAACATTACATTTATGATTGTAAATAAAATAATAATATATACTTATGATACCATGATGATGTTGTTAGTAGAATAGCTATGAGGATCCTGCGACAATTTCGCTCAAGGTCATATAGGTTTAGGTCATCGCGCATGCGTCACGGTCAATGTGTGCAGACTTTTCTGACTTTTAAAAACATTGAAAATTTCACTTTTTTGACTTTTACTTTCGGCCCACGGAAAGAGAGTAAACTTTCAGCACGTGGGTGGAAAGTAAAAGTCACAAAAGTGAAATTTTCAAACTTTTTTAAAAGTAAGAAAATTCAACATTACATTTATGATTGTAAACAAAATAATATTATATACTTATGATACCATGATGATGTTGTTAGTAGAATAGCTATGAGGATCCTGCGACAATTTCGCTCAAGGTCATATAGGTTTAGGCCATCGCGCATGCGTCACGGTCAATGTGTGCAGACTTTTCTGACTTTTAAAAAGTTTGAAAATTTCACTTTTTTGACTTTTACTTTCGGCCCACGGAAAGAGAGTAAACTTTCAACCCGTGGGTGGAAAGTAAAAGTCACAAAAGTGAAATTTTCAAACTTTTTAAAAGTCAGAAAAGTCAACATTACATTTATGATTGTAAATAAAATAATAATATATACTTATAATACCATGATGATGTTGCTAGTAGAATAGCTATGAGGATTCTTCGATAATTTCGCTCAAGGTCATATAGGTTTAGGTCATCGCGTATGCGTCACGGTCAATGTGTGCAGACTTTTCTGACTTTTAAAAAGTTTGAAAATTTCACTTTTTTGACTTTGACAAACTTTTTTAAAAGTAAGAAAATTCAACATTACATTTATGATTGTAAACAAAATAATATTATATACTTATGATACCATGATGATGTTGTTAGTAGAATAGCTATGAGGATCCTGCGACAATTTCGCTCAAGGTCATATAGGTTTAGGTCATCGCGCATGCATCACGGTCAATATGTGCAGACTTTTCTGACTTTTAAAAAGTTTGAAAATTTCACTTTTTCGACTTTTACTTTCGGCCCACGGAAGGAGAGTAAACTTTCAACCCGTGGGTGGAAAGTAAAAGTCGAAAAAGTGAAATTATCAAACATTTTAAAAGTCAGAAAAGTCAACATTACATTTATGACTGTAAATAAAATAATAATATACAGGGTGTCCGGAAAATAGCGAAAAAGCTCTCCACTACGTAGTAGGGGATCCTTTGAGTAACCCTGGAAAAATAATTAAAAAAATCCTAATCGACCATTCTTGGAAATATGAAGAGGTAAATGTGAAAATTCAACTTCGTCATTTTTGATTTTTTTTTTTCAAATTGCAATATTTCGTACAAAGTGTTAGGTATCTTTTGTCGATTCATTACATATTAGTTTAAAAAAATTTGTTGTTAACCTTTAAAACGCATTATGAAAATTGCAAAATCTCTAAATTACAACAGGAAAAATTGATCTGACAACATTTATCAGTCACCTTCGAATTTTCCAGGTAATTACATAGATATTTAATTTAATTCTGTGACAAATTGTCAACGGGATATTTTCAGTGTTGCCGATTTTAATAAACATTAAAATGCTAATAACTTTCTTAAAAATGCCACAAGATTTTTTAAATTATTTTTCTGGGGTTCCTTGAAGGGTCCCCACTACGTAGTGGAGAGCTTTTACGGTATTTTCCGGACAACCTGTATACTTATGATACCATGATGATGTTGTTAGTAGAATAGCTATGAGGATCCTGCGACAATTTCGCTCAAGGTCATATAGGTTTAGGTCATCGCGCATGCGTCACGGTCAATGTGTGTAGACTTTTCTGACTTTTAAAAAGTTTGAAAATTTCACTTTTTTGACTTTTATTTTCGGCCCACGGAAGGAGAGTAAACTTTCAACCCGTGGGTGGAGAGTAAAAGTCAAAAAAGTGAAAATTTCAAACTTTTTAAAAGTCAGAAAGGTCAACATTACATTTATGATTGTAAATAATAGTATATTACATACCGAGGTGGAAAGTGTTTGAAACTTTTCACCGAGGTATGTATACTATTTTATTTACAATCATTCGAATTTTGAAATTTTCATTTGGATTAAAACTAAAGAATACAATAATTAACAATTTCATTTACTTTCGGCCCACGGGTCGAAAGTTTACTTTCGACCCGTGGGCCGAAAGTAAAAGTCAAAAAATACAATAAATTTTAAAAATTTCATTCACTTTCGACCCACGGGTCGAAAGTAAACTTTCGACCCGTGGGCCGAAAGTAAAAGTCAAAAAAGTGACATTTTCGAACTTTTTAAAAGTCAGTAAAGTCAACATTACATGTATGATTGTAAATAAAATAATAATATATACTTATGATACCATGATGATGTTGTTAGTAGAATAGCTATGAGGATCCTGCGACAATTTCGCTCAAGGTCATATAGGTTTAGGTCATCGCGCATGCGTCACGGTCAATGTGTGCAGACTTTTCTGACTTTTAAAAAGTTTGAAAATTTCACTTTTCTGACTTTTACTTTCGACCCAAGGAAGGAGAGTAAACTTTCAAACCGTGGGTGGAAAGTAAAAGTCAACATTACATTTATGATTGTAAATAAAATATTAATATATACTTATGATACCATGATGATGTTGTTAGTAGAATAGCTATGAGGATCCTGCGACAATTTCGCACAAGGTCATATAGTTTCCGGTCACTGCACATGCGTCACGGTCAATGTGTGCTGATGCCCCAAGTCATCACTTGTAATCTATTCGAAATTTTGAGGTTAAAATCTTGAAACGTATCCAACGATTCTAAACAGAGAAAAGGATAGCCTACTTCTACTTGACCTGTATTTGAGAGACATATTGTGACATTGGCGATACCAAGCTTTGTCTTCTAAAGCTAATTCAAAAGAAAATTATAAAAATATTTCAATCCCACATTTATTCTAACATTAAGCTGGAAATTCTTTATCCATCCTAGTCCATATAGAATTGTTAATCTCTCACACATTATTCGTGCTATTTCAGCGTGAAACAAAAATGGTTTTTAAAATAACATTTTCATGTCTGTATTTTTTAAAAGATGGCCTCTGCTGGAGGCAAAAGCAGATGGCTAAATCCGCTTATTTACTTACTTTTTTTGCCGCCACACGACCTTGTTTGGACTTTTCCGGGAAAAGAGAGACGGAGCCTTTTGCAGTAGATAGTTAAAATCAATGTTATTAGTACCGAGAATCCGGATGCGGAAATGGTTAATTGTATCTAAATCTAGTTGGCGCGTTAATTAATCAGATAAATTCAATTTATTCACAATCAGCTGTCTGTAATTTGGAATTATTTTAATTGGATGCAAAACCCATTTATCCTGAATCACGGTATTCAACCCAAATAATTATTTACCAAAAATTTGATTGCTTATTGTGCCAAATTGCATGTTTTTTTTTTTCAATTTTTTGCATGTAAGTTTTCCAATATTGTTGAAAGAAGATCCTTCAAGAATGCAAAATTTAACGAAATTGACACTGTTGTCGTAGTTTTGAATTGATTAGCTAGGACAACAATGTCACTTTTGATAACTCTTGCGAGCTCTTCCAAAACTCCAAGAATTCAAAGGTGAGATTTATTGTATATTTTTTTTTTTTTTCGATGTCATTATTTTGCATGGCAGTATTTTCCCCTCTGGTCCAGTTAATTAAAACTGCAAGTTAAATTGCCTCGTTCGCTCTCTCTCTATCTCGTGTTCGTCTGTGCGGCTTCAATCTAAAACCATTATGCCCCTTTCCACGGCAACGGGGCGTCATCATAATCCATTTTGAAATCAATCTCGGATACCTTCAGCTTCAGCTAATAAGCAAAGTGCCTCCTTATTTGCCTCCCAGTCTTTCTCTTCCCTGGACCCAGATTGCGCCGTTGATGGGCATAATAATAACCGGCCATCTAACATCTTGAAAAATTGGACCAAGAATTTTAAAGAGATTAATAATTTTTCATAGTGTAGAGTATTAAATATTCGCCTAGAAAAATCAAAAAGCCTTCAAGCAAAAAATGAATCAACAGATTGTGTCTATTAACTTTTCCTCCCCTGTTCTCAAGGGTGAAAAATCACCTAAGAAATGGTCGATAGGCGGCCTGTTTAAAAATGTATGAGTGCATTTTGTTAACGCCGTTTTAGTTATCCCCCTCGGTTTTCTTAGGCCATTAAGTTGATAAGAGAAACGCTTTGGAGAGTTGGGTTTCAGCCACTTGGTCAAGATGGCATTTGCAATGCATGCGATGTCCATCTCGAATCTTCTCGGAGCGTTTTCCTCGACGTGGGTTTATTTTTTTTGTTCTCGCTTTACCGACGAGATGACTTGGACTTATCATTTACGGTTTTCGGTTAATGGATTAAATGTTTACCAATTCCAATTTATATGGAAGCTTGGATTTCAATTTTGGTGTTTTCGCAAAGATGGTGAATTTATTCATGACAATTTCTTAAATTTTCAGCAAAATCACCTTTGCAAAGTTGCAGTAACATAATCGGAAAGCAGCATTTGCATTTTGCACCAATTACAAAGTCAGCTGTTAAATAGCTACTGGAGTTATTTATATAGGTACTATAGACAAAGACGGTTATGATAACGTCGCTACACAACTCATTTAAATAACTATACAAAGAACTTCTGTTAGTGAGCAAAATAAAAAAGTAAGACAACATAGGACAAGCATATCATTTGATTATTTGAAGCAAACAAGAAGTCATTTGATTCATAAAACATCTACTTATTTTTTTTTCACCCTTGAGGTAGATTTATCCCTTGCATATATCTTTCACGACATTAATATCAAAGCGAACTAGGTCCCTAGGTTTTCAAATTATACACACATTCAAAGGCACAAACCACAAGGGCATTACCGCCCGAATGATTCCGGAAAGCTGTTCGCTTTTCATGTTAAATGCTTGCAATATGGATCTATATTAAGAGAAATCTGATATGGTGCAATAGATAAAGCCCGACAAAGCGTGAAATAGAATTATGTTTTAGGTTTTACGAAAATATTTCAAACGATTTTATGTTTAGTTCCAATAATACCGGAGTTTTTGTACGATATTAACCACCCGGAGGCGCCTTTGGACGGAAGACCGTTAATACCGACGACCACCACCACCAAGGTACCTCCATGTGACAAATACATCAAAATGCTTAGTCAGATAAGTCCAGAATTTAACGAATCGCTATATGCTACTACTACTAGTAATTATCGTAAGTCGAAGCGCGATCAACGGAAGTGACTCATTTGAAGAAAGTATTTTCAATTTTTAGTAAATTTAACAGAATTAGAAGAATCCGACAAGGCGAAGAAGCACGAATACTTAATTCAAGAAACTGTTGCTGTGGGAATGCTGTTCGCCTCGAAGGCATTCGTGCAGTTATTGGCTAATCCTTTCGTAGGACCATTAACTCACAAGTAAGGACTTTTATAAACTCAAATTAACTTACTTAATATTTATTTTCCTTTCAGAATTGGCTACAGCATACCCATGTTTGCCGGTTTCATTATAATGTTCCTTTCAACAATAAGTAAGTATTAGCCTTAAAAGATAAGCCACCGAAGATTTCCATAATATTAATAATAATAATGGAAAAAAAAACTCGTTTATATTTCCCGCAAAATCCTCGTGAAGCCTTTTTAAACCGGTCGAAACAAAAGGATAAAATATTACGGACTTAAAGAATTTGCTTATAGCGTTGGTATTTCTTTTGTGGCCCCGGGAATTTAATGATTTCGAAAAAATTACATTTCGTCTAATTTGCCACTGGCAGCTATTAGTTACTAAACTCCAGATAATTTGATTTTGGTCGTGTGTTTAGGGCAGTCTTTGGCAAAGTGCTCTCGTCTCTACACGTCTAATTAGGAGCTTGAAAGCATTTCTACCAACTGCAAGTGATTAATAACAGCTGTCGAAATATATTTCTAAGCAATTGAGAATTTGAAAAGGCTGTTTATAGAAGGTGGCAATTTATTTTCATGAAATGTTCACAAGAATTATCCAGGAAATCAAAGAAAAAGTATGTATCAAATATTGAAAGAAGTTTCTATGAAAAGTTTATTAGAAAAAGACATGAAAGAAGATTTACCAGAAGATGACATAAATCACATCAATGATAGGTTAAACGAACAACTATGAAAAGCTTCAAGAAAAATAGGAATAATGAGGTTACATAAGCGATGAAATCAGGAAATTGATAAGGCAAAGAAGAAGCAACGAGAAACGAAATACATGTGAATGAAGAACTTGATGATCACTGTATGTGGTGGATCTGTTAGTGGTTTGGAGATATCCAGGTGCTTTTCCTTTTCTTACTAATAAAAGGTGAACATTTTTGAAAACAACGTTTGGGTTTGTTTCATATTTTTTCATTCCGTCCAGATTTGACCCTATTCTCATTATTTAAGCCTCAATTTGTCCAGTGCTGATATGGACTTCTCTTTCTGTGGAACATTTTTCAGTTCTTAGACGAAGAGGATTTTTTTCTTGCGTGATATTATTCTACATTTATTTTTAGGAGACCTGTGATTTTTATTTCATTTTATAGTTTTTCATTCAAATTCATAATTTGAATTTCAATGTAAGGGCGTGCGCGAAGTCACTTGTATTTCACACAATACCACAATATGGTTCAGTACCACACAATAACACACTGTCAGTGGTGCCATTTCTTGATGATTCTCTCAAATACCTATAAGTGAATTGGTGGATAGAAACCTTATTCTATGGTGGATAGATTACAGATTGTGATGGTTGGGGTGTTTAGGTTATGGACCCCTCCGCACTGCGACCTGATTAGATCTATTATTGTGCTTCCCCTTATATCTAGTGGGTTCCCAGATTAAGGCAAAGCCTATAATGTTCTTGGGATAGCGCAAAGTTCTTTTGCGAATATTTCCGCTTGAAATATGGTTGGGCTTTCTCCTAGGGCTGTTGATAGTGCGCCGTATACCCCTGCTCCAGTCTCTTCCGCTATTTTCGATTTGTCTGTATACCAGATAGATGTTTTGTCTTCACATTTATGCATTCTTTCATAATGCTCACGTTCCCTTCTTTTAGTTTTAGGGACTGCATTATTCTCGAAGCTCCCATGTTGTCCTTTTTCTTCAGTATTATATTCAGTAGGGGGAGGCCCAACATATTCTCCATTGCGGTGGTTGGGCAGGTGTTTATTGCTCCTGTAACTTCAAGACATTGTGACAAAATTGAGATGTTATTGATATTTTGGTAGCGTGAATAATTCTGTCACATCTTAAAATTTCGTGGTTAATTATGCTGAAAAGTAAATTTGATTTGAAGCAATAAATAACAGTTTCCTGACCGGAGGCAATCTGAACGAAATCTTTTTTCTTCTCTTCTTGGAGTGGTTATTAAAAAGTGTTAAAAGAGACTCAAAATTAGTACCACTTAGCACTTTTTTGGTGAAGCTGGAAACACCTTTTCCAACCGCACAAACCGGCACGTAAGATCTTTTTTTGAGCCACCACCAGTGTTTTAATGGTAATTTTAAAACTAGTAAAGAAAAGACCAATTTCGAAAGATTAAAATTAATTTATTTAAGAGTGAAAAGAAAAGTTAATTATTTTATATCCTACTGAACTATTAAAACCATATAATACCTTGGTTACGATAATCATAAACAGGGTCTTAACTCCCAAGGGAGTTAAGGATTTTCATAACTCCCAAGGGAGTTAAGGAAGGGAGTTAAGGATATCATAACTCCCAAGGGAGTTAAGGATTTCCATAACTCCCGCTTTTACCTTGAATAGGTAACACTTTGACAAAAAATAGAAATTTTGATTTATGGCTTATTCCTTTATAAAAATAGACAGAATACAGTAAATTCAGTAGGATATAAAATTATCTATGTACCACGGGAATTATCAGGAGTTAATACCCACGGGCAATTGGTGTCCCTCGGGCCGGAGGCCCTCGGGACACAAACGTTGCCCTGGGGTATTAACACCTGCATAATTCCCTTGATACATAAATAACTATAAAGATAAAAAAAAGGTAAAATATAAAAAAAAAAAAACTAAAATACCTTATTAATTAATAGACCATTAACAATTTTACCTGAAGAAAAACTAAGACAATTGAAAGAAAAAAGAATAATTTCCCAATTAAAAGATTTAGTTCAAAATCTGAGACTTTATTGGAAATTGAAAAAAAAATAACATAAAATAAATATCACCTCTTTGAAGAGCTTTCCCTAAAACACCGGGCGGCAGATGAACTAGCGGATGAGGAACGGATCGAGAACTCGTTGAGACTTTTCGACCTAATTTTCTGGCGATTACTCGGGGTAAAATCTAGTGGCGAGTTGGCGATAACTGAAATTATGTGGCCTCTACATCTGCTTAAATAAGCGAAAGGAACCACCCTCTGGGTACCACTTTGGAAGCCCATTGGCTCCTCTCAGCTTGCGAGATTCGAGGATCACCTTGATAATTATATTATTATTATACAATTGGTTATTGCATCATAAAAATCCAGCTCATGTAATTATTGTTTCACTACACACACATAAGCTTCGAATATAATATATCATTCTTTACAACGCTATCGGTAACCTGACATCTGGGTTCGTTATAAAACGTGGGTCAGAGATTATTCTTGACTTTGAATAGATTATTACAACCACATGGGTCTGGTTCAGTCGAGAGATTAGTTTAAAGTTTAGTCTTTATCCCGGAAAACATAAATTTTGCCTACATAATTGTCAATTTTGGATTACAGCAATAATAATCTTGGAGCTTTAAAATTCGATACTTTTCTGGCTCAAGTGCTTTTTACCCTCGAACAGATAAGTCCACCCCATGTGTTTGTAAATTTCATCATAGGGTCACATTTTAGCTATTTATGAGAATAAAACTTTTCCCACGAATAATGAATTTGAACCGAGAATATAAATTTGTTATTGATTTTGTTACAACATGCATACCGTTGTATAGTTACCAATCTGTTTTGTGCTTTCTGTTGTTTTATTTTGCCAGCAGCGTAAGTGACCATGGGTCTCATAACCATTGTAAATAACCAATAATAGATTATTTTTGGCATTAGACCCCAAGTCTTGTTAAATAATCTGAGGCAAATCCAGTATGTGGCCATTGCCCGGTCGGTCACTGTTAATTTATACATCTTTATTCTTTTTAGTCTTTATAACATCATTATCATAATCCGTACATTGGCATACGTTTCGACAGCTGTTATCGTCTAATCTATATTTCCATGGATCCTGACATACACCTTAGGCACAATCAAGACCACTTCACACTCCACTGCCCAACATCCCTTTTTTCAAGAATAATATTTAAGTATTTACAAAACCAAAGGAATCCTAAAAACTAAAAAAACTCTTAAAAGGTAATAAAATACAGAAACTTAAGTTTCATTCAAACTTGGAAGGTGTCTTGGAAAGTCTACCTGGATGAGTAACATATATTTTTGTATAAATGCATCATCAGAATCACCTTCACTTGTGATAACTTGTTTGATCTCTGCTTGATAATCACTAGATTCACTGGAATTATTATTAACAACAATTTCAGTAGGTATTTTCATTTATGGGAAAAATGTCTCATGGGGAAGTGTCTCTTCATAATGTTATCCACAAGTGTCTTTATCCACACTCTCATCATCTGACATACTATCTTCACTTACAATTTCTGCCTCAGGAACAACATTAACACCAATATTATTACCTAAAACATCTACTTCGATAAAATACCTGACCTCCTGTTGAGGGAAAGAAAGCAACATTTTCAGAATTATCATAACATACTATATTTTCTACATTCTGAAAATGTAAAAATACGGGACTGTGAATGTAGCACTTGTGCGCACTGAATAGCTTCACCCTTTTCATTTATTTCACTTGCAATCTAGTAATTTTCAAACCTGCATCTCTAGAGCTTCCAATTCTCACAAATATTCCCTAACATAATTATTGCAGAACACATCTACTATCGCCCATTTTGCTTACTGAATCCTTAATTTCTGAAGTTGATAATTTATTTCAAACTTACGCACTGACTGCGCCATGTTAATAAAATGTATACAGCTTTATTCTTTTTAGATTTTATAACATCATTATCATGACCCATACACTGGCATACTTTTTAACGGCTGTTATCGTCTAATCTATTCCCATGGATCCTGACATACACCTTAGGCATAGTCAAGACCACTTCACACTCCACTACCCTACAGTCACTCTTTTAAGCTTTTGGTTCCAAGTAAGGTTCCGATCCAAAATGACTCCCTGATAGCCAACACCACCTACGAAGTTGTTTTGCGTCCCACTTAAAGTTGGGGCTGTTAGATTCAGCCCTGATTCCTTGTAAAAAGAACAACTATGGGTTTGTTGAGGTTGACGCGCAAACCCGCTTGTAGACACCATCCAAAAATGACATTTAGGGTATTCTGCATGAGGTCACCAATGATCCCGTCATGCCCACCCCCAATCAATGATGACTGCTGAGACCGTTGCACTTCCAATAGAATTTTTCCTAACTTGTTTTTCAATTGTATGTCTTGGTTGTTGTTGTACAATTTCACATAATTTTATTCATAAACACAGTACAAAGTTTAAACCTCCATATCTCAATTTTCTCTTTGCATATTCATCCTCATGAATATTTTTCTGTCAAAATCTATTTCTTCCAATCGTTTTTCAAGCTAATAATTCCTGTTCGAAAATTGCCGCTACAATATTTCAGCATACCAACAGCAAGCGTGTGGAATACACAAATTTTATTACAGGCACGATATCATATAGCGCTCTATCTTGAAATAATCAAATTAGAAGCACTCAGCGACAAAGGCTGCCGTAACCAGGTTAGCAACGGCAAAAAGCGACTTCAATTTCGACTCGTTTTGAAATATCCCGCTTTAAAAAATTGCTAATTTTTTTTTTTTTTAGATTGTTCGAAATTCCTGGGACTTGGGAGCGCTATTGTAATAAAACAGAAATGGACATTGTGCTAAAACAATTCAAAACTAATTATTCTCGATTATAAAATTTTAAAAAAATCTTGTTTGGCTTCGAAAAATAAATTAATTGGATTTACTGTCAGTGACAGGCCAGCATCCCAGGTTAATTTACCACCCTTTTGAGTGTTTATTGTTCGGCCACGCGCTGGATTTCAACATTTTGCATCATTAAATAGGAATCGAGATGTTTTCACTCGTTTATTTTCGAGTGGTGATGTTCGAGATTTTTGAATTTTAAATTGGACGTTCTAGTTTCCGATGATAGATTGATTGTTTGTAGGTTAAAAAGTTCATAAATTCATTTAAGAATCATTTTCTGTAACTGACGAACTGTTCTAGGGTGACCTTAGACGTCAGTCCCTATATTGTTTTGAGACATATATGCAATCATGTTCCATAGTCTTCATAGTCTTTTGAATCATTGATAATGTCAAATAGAACATGTCACTAGAGTACTTGAATTTCGTCCTTAAAACATTAAACTAATCTAAAATAATTCTTTTAATTATTTAGAGCTCGCACATAATGATGAACGAATTTAAATATTCTTTCTTTCAAAATTTTCCAAAGTCCGATTTAGCGCGTTTTCCCGAGGCTACAAAATTCTTCGCGAATTTTATCCGGAGTGACTCATTAATCTTACTGTAAACTCAAGACTCAATACTCTAGCTGAACTGAACTGGAGACTGAACTCAACTGAACTGATCTGAAGACTGAACTGAAACTTCTAAAACCGCTGTTTTTATATTTTTTGTTCCCCCAAAAATATTTCGGGGCCACTTTACACAACACTGGCCATTGACCGTTCATCTTTTCCTAGAAATATAATTTATTTGTCTAAAACCGAATATGTCCTAATTTCCTGGATTATCGGGTCAACAGATTTGGTATAAGAATGTGAGGACGAATAACTCAAAGGATGCCGAAAACTCGTGTCGGCCGTTAATCATGAAATCTGTCACTTAGTCAGCAATTTAATTGCTTTAACCTCGCCCTGGCTGCCTGGCTCGTCATTTACCTATTATTTCAATTTGAAAAATTTTCAATATCTTAAATAATTTGTATCAATGTCAAATTTAGAAAATTAGAACTTTTCTTTTAATATTGGAAATTTAATTTACATAAGATTATTTGATACAATTTACATTATTTGATTACATTCAAATTTACTGTTTTTGTATTTCAAGTCCTTGTAAGTTCCGGGTGTATTTTTCTCGGGTCATTACACTACTTTTAAGCACACTGATTTAGGCAATGAAAAAAATAAAAATTACTATTCACCATTTTTGTCTTATGTAGTTTTCGCCTTTGGAAGAAGTTACAGTGTCCTATTCATCGCCAGAGCCCTACAAGGAATCGGTTCATCCTGTTCCAGTGTATCGGGCATGGGAATGTTGGCCGAACGTTATCCGGACGACAAAGAACGAGGAAACGCCATGGGAATAGCGCTGGGAGGTCTGGCTTTGGGCGTACTCATCGGACCACCGTTCGGTGGGCTTATGTACGAGTTCGTTGGAAAATCGGCCCCGTTTTTGGTGCTGGCGGCTTTGGCCCTCGGAGATGGACGTAAGTTTTTTTATTTTTCTAAAATTTGCTATGCTATAACTCTCTCGGGGTCTGATCTGTAAGATAAGTCCACCCAGGGGGGATAGAAGAATAAAATATCGAACTCCGGGGGTAATGAAAAAGAAGTCGCGTGGAAAATGGGACGGGGGAGACAGAATGTTCCCGTTCCGATCGGGGATAAAAAGGAGCTGTAAATCGGGTGCTAACTGGCTAAAAGGCGCACATAGTGTAAATTTATTTGTTGGTGATTCTCACATTATTGGATACTTTTCGTGTGTGCTTTCACGATTGCTTTTTTTTTCGTATTTGATGGCGTGTTTTATTTGAATAAACGTGCGGCAGTTAAGTTGAATGTATTTTGGCGTTGTCTCCGTGAACGACAATGTTTTTGACTTCGATTATCGTGTATTTCCATCAAAGCAGATATTTTCATTGGTCTGTGCAGCATTGAATGGGAGAGTTTCGTAGTTTATGCGGAGTTTTTAATAAAGCCAGCTTTGAGTGATTCTACATAACCTACATACAACGAGAATAGAACAGGGGGAATTTGTGACTTTCCCTGCATCCTAAAAAGTCATTTCATGTATTTCTTTCCGTAGAATCTAGAAATGCAATTTGGAAAACGATTCAACCTAAAACAAAAGAGTGCTGATTTTTACCTCCAACTCCTTTTAAAGCTAGCAAAAGTTAATTGGGGATTCACGGAAATTTTAAGTTTTTTAATGGTTAATGGTTCATGGTCCATTAACTAATCAAAGATATTTCAATTTTTTCCAAAAAAGCATTGAAAACCTTTTGGAAAAATATCGAAACATTATTTGTTAGCAGGATAGACCTCTTCCTTATGCAGTTCGCAATCTTGTGGAGTTTTTAAATAATCGATACGAGGAGTTGATTGGTTTGGTTGGTTATTTAAAATTCAGAAAATCTGAGAAACTTTGGGAAATGAAGAATTTTTTTCAAGAAGCCTTTTAGCTTTAACATATACTTAAATTTGATTGAAAGAAAACCAAAGTTAGTGGAGTTACGATTTTCCCAAAGAGATACTAAGTGATATTTTTACAATACAGATTATGGCCTGATTTTTGATTTTTCTCCAGGAAATCTGGGAAACTTTGAAAAATGAAGAATTTTTTGTATATCCAGAAGCCTTTAAGCTTCAACATACCAAAATTTGATTGAAAAAAAAAACAAAGATAGCGGAGTTACGATTTTTTAATCCCAAAGAGACACTAAGTGATATTTTTACAATACAGATTATGGGCTGATTTTACAATTTTTTCCAGAAAATCTAGGAAACTTTGGAAAATGGAGAAGTTTTTCAAATATCCAGAAACCTTTTAGCTTAAATATACTAAAATTTTATTGAGAAAAAACGAAAGATAGCGGAATTACGAATTTTTTAATTCTAAACAGACACTAAGTGATATTTTCACAATATAGACTATGACCTGATTTTTGATTTTTTTTGCTGGAAATCTGGGATACTTTGGAAAATTAGGAACTTTTTCATAGATCCAGAATCCTTTTATCTTTAACATACTGAAATTTCATTGGAAAAAAAAACAAAGATAGCGGAGTTACGATTTTTTAATCTCAAAGAGACACTAAGTGATATTTTTACAATACAAACTATGTCCTGATTTTAGATTTTTTTCCAGGAAATATAGGAAACTTTGTAAAATGAAGAATTTTTTTCAATATCCAGAAGCCTTTAAGCTCCAACATACTAAAATTTGATTGAGAAAAAACCAAAAATAGCGGAATTACGAATTTTTTAATTCCAAAGAGACACTAAGTGATATTTTTACAATACAAACTATGGCCTGATTTTAGATTTTTTTCCTGGAAATCTGGGATACTTTGGAGAATGGAGAATTTTTTAATATATTTAGAAGCCTTTGAACTTTAACATCCTGAAATTTAATTGGAAAAAAACCAAAGATAGCGGAGTTACGATTTTTTAATCTCAAAGAGACACTAAGTGATATTTTTACAATACAGATTATGGCCTGATTTTTGATTTTTTTCCAAAAAATCTAGGAAACTTTGGAAAATGGAGAATTTTTTCAAATATCCAGAAACCTTTTAGCTTAAACATACTAAAATTTGATTGAGAAAAAACGAAATATAGCGGAATTACGAATTTTTTAATTCTAAACAGACACTAAGTGATATTTTCACAATATAGACTATGGCCTGATTTTAGATTTTTTTCCTGGAAATCTGGGATACTTTGGAAAATTAAGAACTTTTTCATGGATCCAGAAGCCTTTTATCTTTAACATACTGAAATTTCATTGGAAAAAAAAACAAAGATAGCGGAGTTACGATTTTTTAATCTCAAAGAGACACTTAGTGATATTTTTACAATACAAACTATGTCCTGATTTTAGATTTTTTTCCAGGAAATATAGGAAACTTTGGAAAATAAAGAATTTTTTTCAATATCCAGAAGCCTTTAAGCTTCAACATACTAAAATTTGATTGAGGAAAAACCAAAGATAGCGGAATTACGAATTTTTTAATTCCAAAGAGACACTAAGTGATATTTTTACAATACAGACTATGGCCTGATTTTAGATTTTTTTCCTGGAAATCTAGGATAATTTGGAGAATGAAGAATTTTTTCATATATTTAGGAGCTTTTGAACTTTAACATCCTGAAATTTGATTGGAAAAAACCAAATATAGCGGAGTTACGATTTTTTAATCTCAAAGAGACACTAAGTGATATTTTTACAATACAGACTATGTCCTGATTTTCGATTTTTTTCTGGAAATCTGGGATACTTTGGAGAATGAAGAATTTTTCCATATATCCAGAAGCCTTTGAGCTTTAACATACTGAAATTTGATTGAAAGAAAAACAAATATAGCGGAGTTCCGATTTTTTAATCTCAAAGAGACACTAAGTGATATTTTTACAATACAGACTATGTCCTGATTTTAGATTTTTTTCTGGAAATCTGGAATACTTTGGAGAATGAAGAATTTTTTCATATATCCAGAAGCCTTTGGGCTTTAACATACTGAAATTTGATTGAAAGAAAAACAAATATAGCGGAGTTACGATTTTTTAGTCTCAAAGAGACACTAAGTGATATTTTTACAATACAGACTAGGTATGTCCTGATTTTAGATTTTTTTCCAGGAAATCTAGGCAACTTTGGAAAATGAAGAATTTTTTTCAATATTCACAAGCCTTTTAGCTTCAATATATTAAAATTTGATTGAGGAAAAACCAAAGATAGCGGAATTACGAATTTTTTAAATCCAAAGAGACACTATAAGTGATATTTTTACAATACAGACTATGGCCTAATTTAAATTTTTTTTTCCTGGAAATCTGGGATACTTTGGAGAATGAAGAATTTTTTCATATATTTAGAAATCTTTGGACTTTAATGTACTGAAATTTGATTGAAAAAAAACCAAAGATAGCGGAGTTACGATTTTTCAATCCCAGAGAGACACTAAGTGATATTTTTACAATACAGACTATGTCCTGATTTTAGATTTTTTTCCTGGAAATCTGGGATACTTTGAAGAATGAAGAATTTTTTTTATATCCAGAAGCCTTTTAGCTTTAACATACTGAAATTTGATTGGAAAAAAACCACAGATAACGGAGTTACGATTTTTTAATCTCAAAGAGACACTAAGTGATATTTTTACAATACAGACTATGTCCTGATTTTAGATTTTTTTCCTGGAAATCTGGGATACTTTGAAGAGTGAAGAATTTTTTTATATCCAGATGCCTTTTCGCTTAAACATACCAAAATTTGATGGGAAAAAACCAAAGACAGCGGAGTTACGATTTTTTAATCTCAAAGAGACACTAAGTGCTATTTTTACAATACAGATTATGGCCTGATTTTTGATTTTTTCCCAGGAAATCTGGGAAACTTTGGAAAATGAAGAGTTTTTTATATATTCAGAAGCCTTACAGCTTTAACATACCGAAATTATATTGGAAAAAAACCAAAGATAGCGCAGTTACGATTTTTTAATCCCAGAGAGAACATGGTGATATTTTTACAATACAGACTATGTCCTGATTTTAGATTTTTTTTCCTGGAAATCTGGGGAATTTTTTTATATATCTAGAAGCCTTTCAGCTTCAACATACCAAAATTAAATTGGTAAAAAACCAAAGATAGCGCAGTTACGATTTTTCAATCCCAGAGGGACACATAGTGATATTTTGACAATACAAATTATGTCCTGACTTTTTACTTTTTTTTCCAGGTCAATTCAGAATTATGAACAGTCACAAAACAGTTCTAAGTCCATGTCTAATGCACAAGCACGTCTCTTTCTGTTCTAGAACAGTTATAAATAAAAACCTAATGTCATTGATGCATCATATTCAGCATTTGTTTGATAGTAAAACCAAATCCAGACCACACAATGCGGCACAGACATTACACATTATACACAAAACGTAAAAACATCTAAGTTGTAATAATTATTATACTTGTAACCTTTACCTACTTTACTCCGCTTCACACCCTTTAATTATGCACTTTCTTTTAGTAAGGGAGATTACCACATAAAGAAAATGCCTCTTTTCAGAACTTTGATAATTGTTCTACTTCAGCTGCACTGGTAAAATCAAGGACAATATTTTTAAAAGCACTTTTCCATAGTTTTACAGTTACTTATGCTCCAACCATCCGTGGTCCATCAGGAATCCGATCCGCCATCTTTGAAAGCCCTCATTGCTGATCCCTACATCATGATTGCTGCTGGTAACTATAATTTCAATATTTTTAATAGAAAATTCTGATCAAACAACTCTCTTATCTAGGTGCTATAATTTTCGCCAATATGGGCATAGCAATGCTAGAACCATCGCTACCAATTTGGATGATGGACACAATGGGCGCAGAAAGATGGAAGCAAGGAGTAACCTTCCTTCCTGCCAGCATTTCGTACCTAATCGGTACCAACCTTTTCGGCCCTCTAGGGCATAAAATGGGTAGATGGCTGGCGGCGCTTTTAGGACTGATTATTATCGGAATATGCTTGATGTGTGTAAGTCAAATAAACTATTTCGATAACTTTTACGCACGACTAGTTATTATAAAACGAGCCTTTATGAAATATTATATTTTGGACAATTATTATTCTTTTTTGCGCCGATGTTGTTGTCGATAATGAGGTAAACATTTCTGGTACATTACTGGTACACTTTCACCGGGGTGCGCGTAATGTGTCGACATTTGCTTGATTTAACGCTTTATAGGCTAGTCAAGGAAGAATAAATAATGAGTAGAAATACAAAAAAATACTCTTATTTTCAACAATGTTCCAAACCTCAAAAAAACTAGTTGGGTTCAAAATCTAAACTTTCTGATTAAAAATCATCATTAACCATTATTTACAAATACGCTCCACTTTTGTTAGAGAATGGCCGATATTCAAATAGATAGTGACTTTAATTGCAATACCATTTTACTTATCTTTAATACTCTAATAATTATTTTCTAGATTCCATTGGCTACCAACATAAACCATTTAATAGTACCAAATGCGGGTCTCGGATTCGCCATCGGCATGGTAGATTCGTCAATGATGCCCGAACTGGGTTATCTGGTTGATATCCGGCACAGTGCAGTATACGGAAGCGTGTATGCTATAGGAGATGTGGCTTTTTGTTTGGGATTTGCCATAGGTAATACGAGAATAAATTTTTTTGCAAAACAAAGTTTATATAAGAAGTTTAATCCATTTTTAATTGACATGTAACGTACCTAACTGATCTATGCTATGATGAGTGATTTTTTGACACTATGCTGAAAAGTCAAAAAAAGCAAGAAAAATAACTAAGTATCATAGAGTCACACTTTAAGGGGGGCCGGCCCAAATTTGGCATAAACATTATTTGATCGATTATCTACAATACCAATTTCTTTATTTCTTACAAATAATCCATCCATAAAGACCTAAACTTCGGAAAACAGGCAACCAGATATACAGAGTATCCGGAATAACTTTGAAGTTCATGGATGGGGCAATTTGAATTTCAAAACACATACGCACTTTTTTCTTTTTTGACTTTATGTCCGTCGCTGTTTCGCGTTCCAAGTTGATATGATGACAGATTATTCGTAAGCACGTGATTGAGCAACTTTTTCCCCATATGGTCCACCCTGTATGTATATGGCATTAACAAATTTGAAATCCGAACTTTCGTCTTTAGGCTACCATCATCAACTTTATTTTTTTAATATGGCTCTGGAGTTTTTTATTCACTTCCTTGACAGGTTTTGACTTCCTTCATGGAATGGTGTATCAAAACAAAATTTGTATGGAGATACTCATCTTCGTCAAACATATTGTTTTGCTTATAAATTTTCTTTGTCAAACTCATTATTTTATGGCAAGTATTAGGTAGATAATTAAATTCTCTATAAATCTGTGTTAAATTGAGTTTGATAACTCAAATACTTTTTGAGCAATTGAGCCTTAAAGTTGAATTTTAGTCAAAATTTAGTTAAACCAGGATGAAAGTTGGGTTTTAATATCTCTATTTTTTCTTTCAACTGTATCTTCTATGATAAATATTCACCTGTAATTATCTTTGGTCTCAGGTAGAGGTCCGAATAGATCAATTGATATTGTTTCAAAACGTTGGGACTGAACAGCAGCACTTAGGCGACTATATTTTTGCGCATACCTGGCCAGAAATAGCAACTGGCTATTCTTTGATGGGAACGCTCTATTCCATAATGACCACTTAACGGTGAGTCATGGTATTTGAATAATATCTCGGAAATCTGTGATTTGGGCACCACTTGTTGTGCTGCTTCTTCGTCCAACTCAGGTATGTACCTAAACAGTACAACGTTATGCTTGATGTACCCTGATTCAGTCCATTTCTTAAAGTCGAGGTTATCTTTGCCCATATTCTCAAAATCTTGTTAATATCTGGGTCTTTCAACTATTCACGGCGAATTTCAGTACCATTTTCTCGTGACAAATCCACGGTTACCAAGTTTGCTTTCATTTCTTGGTCTGGTGGTCGTGACGTGATAGCATATCCGCAATGACATTAGTTCGGCCTGGTGTATAGTTAATCTGAAGATCAAAAGATTGAAGTGCCAAAGCCCATCTGTGGCTAAACGTCCTGTTGGCGATTACAATGTCATCAGTTGATGATCACTTTTGACAAGAACTGATGCACATTTTAGATAACCACGAAATTTATTGGTTACGTTACGGCCCATACAACAGCTAAAGCCTCTCTTTCTGTGGTCGTATAGTTTTGTTCAGCAGGTGTAAGAAGCCGACTTGCATATTCAATGGGTCGTTCGTCTGTATCCTTCCCATGAAGCAGACATGCTCCAAGAGCATAAGAAGAAGTGTCAGTTTTCAGAATATAGGGCTGACTCGGATCAGCTTGGCGAAGGATTGGACTGGAAGTATGAGAAATGATTTTAACTTTTCAAACGCATGATTTTGACTTTGACTCCAGGTCCAAGTACCAACTAGCTTTCTTCTTTGTTAGCATTATTAACATTTCGGAGATATTTGCAAAATTTTCAATGAATCGTCTATACCATGAGCAGGTTTGTAAAAAAGACAGAACTTCCTTAATGTTTCGTGACACTAGGATTTGCAAAATAGCATTAATCTTCTCAGGATTTGGTGCAATACCTTGTGGTGTTATCACATGGCCTAAATACTGTACCGAAGAAAGAAATAATCTCAAACTCTTGTTGTAGATGATCATTATAGGATTCAAAGGAATCAGACAAGATTATTATGTCATCAAGATATGCTAACAGATTAATATTTTGAAGGCTGAGCGAAATCTTTCAATTAGCCTCTAGAAGGTAGATGGCGCATTACGCAGTCCAAAAGGCATTCTTCTGTAGCGAAACATTCCAAACGGGCAGATAAATGTACTCTTTGTCTCGATCACAGGGTTTAACTGACACCTGATGATAACCAGACTAGTGTGGTCATGTAAAGTGTCTTCTTTGCTGCATGGAGAATGTCGTCAATCCGTGGCAACGGATATTGTTCGTCGTTTTTAATCTGACAATTTCCGTATGAGGCGCAAAGGGGTGAAGCATATGACAAAAACAGGTGTGACGTCAGGTGACCATTGCGTTCTAATGTAGGATGCCACCAGCTCACATTCCTTTGGAGTATCAGATTAAGCCGGCGCCACACGATGTATCGAATGCCTTCCAACGTTGGACACATAGCGATTTGTGGCATGCATCTGTGTAGCCGTACACTCATCGGACATATTTGTCAAATTGTAGAGTGCAAAACATTGTACCCAACGATGCATCCAACGTTGGTCCCAATGGCTGGACATATCGTGTGGCGTCGGCTTTAAAATCAATGGACTTCACCTATCTGACGTCGTCTTAGCATTGAGCCGGCGGTAATCAACGGTCAACCTGGTCCCAACATCTTTCTTGGGAACCAGAACTGCAGGAGCAGCGTAAAGAGATTCACATTCTTCAATTATCCCTTCCGTAAGTAGGTTATCAAATTCTTGCTTTAATTGGATCCTTTTAGTCTCAAACATGTTCTGCAAAAGGAGTCGGTTCTACAGATATTGAAAAGATCTTGGTTTGCCACAAGCATCTTGTTGAATGTATGATTTTCGCTTGGCGAAAGGTTTAAACCTTCATCCTCTCTAATATTGACAGAACTGGTTGCAGTTTCTTGAAGGCAAACTAACAGGTTTAATTGGTTCCGACTCAAACTTGTAGCTTATTTCAAGTTCATCGCTATAGAACCATGAATCATTGGAAACATCCAGAATAATATTTGCTGATTTAAGAAAATCTGCCCCTAGAAGTGTTCTGCTTTCCTTATAATCTGGGACCGAAATCATGGCAACATGATGACTTCTATTTTTCAAGACAACTTTCACATTAAAATAAAAGGCATTTACTGTAGAAGTTCTACCATGTGCTAAAGTTATATTCAACTATACGAGCTGCTTCTATAAGCTCTTTAAAAGTTTTCACACTTCCACGCCTCTGGAAGGTAGATGGCGCATTACGCAGTCCAAAAGGCATTCTTGTGTAGCGGAACGTTTCCAAACGGGCAGATAAATGCAGTCTTGTCTCGATCACAGGGCCTAACTGACACCTGATGATAACTAGACTTAATTGTCTTGTAAAGTGTCTTCTTTGCTGCATGGAGAATGTCGTCTATCTGTGGCAACGGATACCTATCTGGCGTCGTCTTAGCATTGAGCCGGCGGTAATCAACGGTCAGCCTGGTCCTACCATCTTTCTTGGGAACCAGAACTGCAGGAGCAACGTAAGGAGATTCACATTCTTCAATTATCCCTACCGTAAGTTGGTTATCAATTTCTTGCTTTAATTGGATCCTTTTAGTCTCAAACATGTTGTGCAAAAGGAGTTGGTTCTACAGATATTGAAAAGATCTTGGTTTGCCTCAAGCATCTTGTTAAATGTATGATTTTCGCTTGGCGAAAGGTTTAAACCTTCATGCTCTCTAATATTGACAGAATTGGTTGCAGTTTGTTGAAGGTAAACAGGTTTAATTGGTTCCGACTCAAACTTGTAGCTTGTTTCAGGTTCATCGCTATAGAACCATGAATCATTAGAAACATCCAGAATAATATTTGCTGAATTAAGAAAATCTGCCCCTAGAAGTGTTCTGCTTTCCTTATAATCTGGGACCGAAATCATGGCAACATGATGACTTCTATTTTTCAAGACAACTTTCACATTAAAATAAAAGGCATTTACTGTAGAAGTTCTACCATGTGCTAAAGTTATATTCAACTATACGAGCTGCTTCTAAAAAGTTTTCACACTTCCGCGCCTCTGGAAGGTAGATGGCGCATTACGCAGTCCAAAAGGCATTCTTGTGTAGCGGAACGTTTCCAAACGGGCAGATAAATGCAGTCTTGTCTCGATCACAGGGTCTACCTGACACTTGATGATAACCAGACTAATTGTCATGTAAAGTGTCTTCTTTTCTGCATGGAGAATGTCGTCTATCCGTGGCAACGGATACCTATTTGGCGTCGTCTTAGCATTGAGCCGGCGGAAATCAACGGTCAGCCTGGTACCGCCATCTTTCTTGGGAACCAGAACTACAGGAGCAGCGTAAGGAGATTCACATTCTTCAATTATCCCTTCCGTAAGTTGGTTATCAATTTCTTGCATTAACTGGATCCTTTTAGTCTCAGACAGGCGATTCTACACTGATATTGAAAAGGTCATGGTTTGCCTCAAGCATCTTGTTGAATGTATGATTTTCGCTTGGTGAAAGGTTTAAAACCTCATCCTCTCTAATATTGACTGAACAACTAATGTCGACAGAATTGGTTGCAGTTTCTTGAAGGCAAGGCTTAGTTGGTTCTGACTCAAACCTGTAATTCATTTCAGGTTCATCGCTATAAATCCATGAATCCATGGGAACATCCAGAATAATATTTGCTGATTTAAGAAAATCTGCTCCTAGAAGTGTTCTGCTTTTCTTATAATCTGGGACAGAAATCATGGTAACATGATGACTTCTATTTTTCAAGACAATTTTCACATCAAACTGAAAAGCATTTACTGTAGAAGTTCTACCATCTGCTAAAGTTATATTTAAATTTTCCTGATGAAAAGCAACATTTTCTGTTAGCAGTATCTCTCTTAAGCGATAACTGAATGAGCACCGGAGTCGAGATACGTAAGTCCTTGATGACGTTCAATAGTTACAAAGGTAAGTGGGCGAATGGAAGAATCAGAGTGAGCAAAGTATGAACTAAGAAATTCGGCAAACATTGTTGAATTGTCTGATAGTAGCGAAACACTAGGTGAGCAATTTGGGCAATTGCTTTTTACGTTATCAGGTTATTTGCAACCATTACATATTACAGAATGTGGTTTAGAAAAGTTTGTAGTACTGGTAACGGAATAACCCGAATTTTCATTCGAACTTCTAGTAGATTCCCCGGCAAGAACACGAGCTAGTTTTCTACAAACGTCTTTAGAATGTCCATAGTTCTTACAATACGCGCACTGAGTTGAATGAGTCTCTAGTTTACGTATAGAGTCATCGCGATTGTCACTAAATTGTAAATGAGGAACAACCGGATTTTCCGAGACAGTCTGTTCAACTAAACGAGCTGCTTTGACAGCTCTTTGAAAGTTTTTACACTTCCACGCTTTTGGAAGGTAGATGGCGCATTACGCAGTCCAAAAGGTATTCTTGTGTAGCGGAACGTTCCACGATCACAGGGTCTAACTGACACCTCATGATAACCAGACTTAATTGTCATGTAAAGTTGTTCTTTGCTGCATGGAGAATTTCGTCAGCCTGGTACCACCATCTTTCTTGGGAACCAGAACTGCAGGAGCAGCGTAAGGAGATTTGCATTCTTCAATTATCCCTTCCGTAAGTAGGTTGTCACTTTCTTGCTTTAACTGGATCCTTGTAGGCACGAATTTATGGTCGCTCCTTGAAGTTTCCTCAGACCTTAAGGAAGCCTTGAACGTTTAGAATTGACATGACTAACTAAAGCAAGTGTCCATTCTAAATTCACGACCTCCAAGGAAGACTCAAGGAACGTCTTGTTGAATGTATGATTTTTGCTTGGCGAAAGGTTTAAACCTTCATCCTCTCTAATATTGACTGAACAACGAATGTCGACAAAATTGGTTGCAGTTTCTTGAAGGTAAACTAATATTAGACTTTTTCTTTTACACATACGTTTAAAAGACCATACACAATGTCGAGTTGTATATGTTCGGGAACAGTGAATCACCTTCTAGATGGGATAAGAAATCGCGAGCTTTACTAACAAATATGTCCGTTTTCTCATCACCTTGCACTTTTGAAAACAGTTCTCTGTGAATTTGATGACGTGGTTTCGAATAACCAAAAGCATGCCTTAATGGCAAAATAGCTTCATCAAAACTGTTTATCCAGGACTTAATTCCCTGCTACCAGGTAGCAGCAGCATCATGTATTGAAAGTCCTTTAAGAGCATGCTGGTCTGGTATATCAAGGCAATTTTTGTAATCAGTTCGTCATTGGTTTTGGGACATCAGAAGCTCTTAAAATCTGAAATAGAAAATCAAGCGCCGCCGTATTTAAAAAAATGAAGTTGATGATGGTGGCCCAAAGACGAAACGTCAGATTTTAAATTTGATAGTAACATCTTGTGTGCAACTTTTTTCAAATTTAACCAACCCTGTATCTATTATGGTTACAGAGATCCCTGTAAAATGCATCCTGTATATCAACTCAATCGAAATGACTATGTTTACAATGGCATCCTTTGATGAAAATCCAAAACTACAATCTCATCAAAAAATGTGTAGAAGTAATGTAAAAGAGATTTTTTTCCAGTTTTGAAACTACACACATAAAATTTATTTACTTTTTCCATCAACAAGCTACAGCAAATAATTTTTTCTGCTGTATCTTACCTTTTTAACTGTTCAAACATTTTCAACTTTCAATTACAGCTGAATTCCTATTAAAACATTATGTGACAAGTAGCTTTCAACTACGATACCTACTATTTTTCTAGATTGGGGTTCAATATTAAGTATGGGTAATTTCAAGTTATTTTCGTCCCAATTTGTGCTAATCAGCCACATTTTAATTTCCCATAAGATAAAGTATATAATTGTCATCAATTATCATCCAATATCATGAAACAATGCTGTCAAAAACACATTTAGAGTGATAATTATTATTCATTCTATTTATTGATAGGAATATTATTAAGTTTTTGCACTTTATTTCAGTAAACTAGACTGAATGGAATTCAACAAAATTAGTCGTGCACAGTAGGTCAAATAGGGGCCGAAAAAAAAATCAAATCAGGAAGTTAAATTTCAGGTATACGGTATGGTCACTCGAGCCCGAATTATAATACTGAGTCGGCGAAAAGAAAATTGAACCGGTTATGTAATTATTATTACTCGATATACATAATATGTGAAATTTCAATTAGCATACGAATACCCTTTCTAAAAAATTATGGCCCTAATTTCAAACAGAATTTTATTTAGAAAAAAAAAATACATTTCATTTTTGAGTTTACCTTAGCGTCAGAGAGATTCTGTTTTTTTTTTTTTAGGTCCTGCGCTGAGTGGTACACTGATAAAAAATATCGGTTTCGAGTGGATGCTATTCGGTATAGCCATGCTTGATTTCTTGTACGCGCCATTGTTGATAAGCCTCAAAAGTCCTCCTACAAAAGAAGAGAAAAAGGTAAAAAATACAAACAACATTCGATGTTAGATTTATTTTGTTTTTTTATTTATTTTTGCATGTTTTAGAGCTGTTTAACTTGGCCGCTGTGTTGTTGGATATAAGTTCTTATTATTTTTTCGTTTAATTTTTAAGCAGGTATTTACTTATTCATTTATATTTTTGCTTCTTTTTGTGAGGACACTCATTTTTGATTTGTTACACTAATTATTTTCAGTCGTTAATAACTGGAGATCATTCATCAGTAAGATACGTTACCTATCAAAATGAAGAAGACGACGAGTAAATAAAATGTAATAAATAATTATAAGGAAAAGATTCTATTATAAATAATTATTGTACATAACAAACAAATTATATTAAATTATAAAAATGTACAAAATTATTTGGCGTTATAAAAGAAAAAACCGAGGACGAAAAACCAAGCATGGATGCAGGACACATTTGTTAATTTGTTGTTAAAAAAAAAACTATTTATTATATGTCTGTAGATGAAGCAAGCTCTCTTGGTATTTATTTTGGATGGAAGTTAGCAATAATTCAAAAACAAAATTTAAATAAACCAAATAGGGCCCTCGTAAGGAATCTTTGTGAATGGCTGCACTAGATTCGTTTCATTTTATGAAAACGAGGCAATAAGAGACCCTTTGTTTAATTCTATTTGGAAAAATTGCACCAATATTATGAAAGGAAAATAAGCTCTTCCATCTACACCCAAAATGATTGTCATACTTAAGACTTTAAGGATAAATATTGTATTTTGATGTCTATTTACTCCTATAGAACCTAAGACAAATATTGACAAAAATCATTTTTAAAGAGAATTGCTGAGCCAATCAAAAAAAAAAAAGGAAAAAACTTGCTAAACAAAATAACGGGGACCGTTTTTTGAATAAGAGACTCCAAAGTCTTGTATAAACCATCAGTAAAGGGACCTAATAAATATTATTATAATAAACTTATATTATTATTCTGCTAATTAATTTATTTTAGTCCCACGAGAAATCATATTTTAACAAAACTTCAAACGGGAGACCCACAAGCTCCTTGAAGGTTATTGTGAATAGACAATAATCTACAGAAAGAAAAAAAAAATCCTGACCAAAATAATCAAAAAATAACACATGTTTATAAATATTATATTAATTTAATTTTTAAGCTGGTAAGGGTCCGAAATACAGGGCAAAATCTATAGCCGATTTTTGCTGCTTTGAAACACAAAATCAGTATTATAGCATATGTGTGTAGTTTAAAAATCTTATTATAAATATTATAGGGTGCGGGAGTCCGTCCCAATTATTTATGTATTGAAAATAAATTGATGTTTTTAGTCAGTGCATATGTTAGCTGATAAATCCAAATTTTAGATTATAATACATATAAATAATATCTAAATGTTTTGATGTATAACACACAATAATAACTTTAATGCTATTAAATAAACAAATTACAAAACTCCTAAATTCACTGTTTTATTTATTACAATTTATGTTGCAACCAAAATAATAAAAGACACGTATTTAAAGTAATTTTTATTTTAAAGAATTCAAACAAAGAAAATAGTAAGGTAACCGACATGAACGTTCATCATGCCATGCCGTTACTGTGAGAAGTGACTCGACGACCAAAAAAAGGTTTAAGGTCCATGTTTGCTATGTTTGCTCCAACGATGCGTCACATTTATGTTTTGTGGGGTGAGATTCCAAAACAACTTTTTCTTAAAAAAGATTTTCAGATAATGCACTAATAATGGTTGCGTGAGGTGCATTATGATCGTTTATTTCTGATTTGTTGTTGAAATTCCAAAGATAAAAACAAAATATGGATCGAAAATGCAGTTAACTGGCAGCCGCAAGCCAAACAGAAACGCACCTAACAATAGTTGCATTTTTTTTTTATTTTGCTATCTAATAATATGTCCTAATCTAGAATATCAAGAAAGTAAGGCGAACCGACTAGCTAGAGTTTACATAAGTCACATAATTCTTGGTGTAAAAATCGACCATGCTTGCCTGGTGGACAGTAGGAGAGTTTTGGTAAGGCCAGTAACTATGTAGTAAAAAATTGTATAAGAGCTTGGAATAATGTCCAGAATTTGAAAAACCCACCTACTGAAAATTTGAGAGTCATTATGGAATTGTCTAAACCCTGAAAAGCCCAAATGATAATGTTTGATATTGTTTTGGTTCTGGTCAGAACCATTTTGCAAAGCGTTACAGAGAAAATTACACCAATTATGAAATTTTTTTCTAACATTTTCAATGCCTCAGGACATAAAAATATCATTTTGAAAGGATTGCATAGGGATGAATAAAAAAACAAAAAATTGCTATGAACAAAGAAAACAATTGTCAAAAAAGAACCCCAACATTTGTGGTAATTTGCCTGGAATTGGAAAGCTTTTTTTCAAATTCTGAAAACAAGCTCAGAAATCGTAAAACATAAGTAAATAACAAAATCAAGTAGATACCTACTCAGAATTTTAGAAAAAACCCACACTGCTGGGGCATAATCTCTGGTCTAATTGTTTCAAAAACAACCCTCCTAATGATTTCTTCCAGACTTAATTATCTCACAAAATATCCTATAAATGAACGTTATATGTAACAATTTGCGTTGGTTTACGAAAAACTCTTTACTTTCTCTACAGCAGATATACCGGCTTGAAAATATGCGCGTGCTGCGGCTATATGGTCAATATAAATCGCCCGCCCACCGTATCTATAAAGGGGCCCGCGAAAAACCAAAAAGTCCACTGAGCCTTTGTGATTTCAACTGTTGAGTTTGTATTTGTGAGTGACTTTTTGTGATAAGGATAAGATTTTATTCAATTAACAAATATAATGTATAGATTTTTGGTAAGTAATTGAAGCTTATAGAAACTTTTTTTAAAGTGAATTTTAGGCAAAAATTTGTTCTGAGGAAATTAAAAAGTTTAGAAAATTCCATGCAAATTATCAAGTTTTCTATATTATCAAATATAGTTTTAATAGAGGACAAAGAATTTTTTTTCTCTACATAGTTTTTAAAGAAAAGCCCAATTTTGATCATCTGCAAAATTGTCACTAAATTAAAGTTTTTGGGATAAAATTTCAACAAGTCTTTGTAATAGTTAAACAGCTTTTTTTTCTGCGAAATATTGTATGCTCTGTTAAACAAGCTATCATTAAAGTTTTGGCATTTATTAAATGGTGCGTGAAAGTGATTTAATATGCTGCAAGCCATATTGTCCAGTCTCTAAACTTAAATACTTACATAGCAATTTATAGGAACTATGATTAATTTCTCAATACATTTGTACAAACATAGCAATTATTTATTGGCAAACTACATTCAGTGAAGGGATATTTTTTAAAAACTTATTAATCGGATTGTAGTTGCAATAGTAATTTTAGTTAATGATACATAAAGTGAAGGTAAATAATTTAACAAAAATGAAGTTTAGATTATATGGTGCCAACTTGAATTATAACATGAGCGTGTTCTTTATAATGCATTGTTTCTTGTCAAAGGTGTATTGGTAAATTCAAAATAATATTATTTTCCAGTATATTCTCGCTCTTTTTACCACATGCCACAGTCAATATCAACATCAAGAAAATGACCAAGAAAGATACCCCACAAGACCGCCGCCACAAATTCTAACCCACAAACAAGCCTTAAACCACGATGGCAATTTTAAATACCTTTTCACGTCCGAAAATGGACTGGCTCAAGGAGAAAGCATCGCACCTGACGGGTAAAAATCTTGATGCAATTAATTCAAATTATAATTATTTTTTTATAGTACTAGAACTGGTGGTTACAGTTACACTGACCCCAACGGTAAAAAAATCTCTGTAAAATACACAGCAGGCAAGGAGGGCTTCAAAATTCTAGAAGCTGATCATTTGCCTAAAGCGCCGCTACCTGTGGCCCCTCTGCCAGCTCCGCAACAACAACCCCAAGCAGCCTACTCACAAGTAATAACAAAAAAAATTAAAATTAGGCCCAATAACTTGAAAGATTCTTTTAGCCTCGTCATCAACAATACGATGACGGTTCCTACCGTCCGGACGAATACAGCAGACCTCAAGCTCAAAGTGGTGCTGCTCAATCGTATTACTTTCCTAAAACTTACACTCAAGCCAACCCGCAACCTCAACCCAGACCGGCTGCTTACCAACAACAGCCCCAATCCCAATACCAATACCCTCAATTGCAAGCAAGACCTGCACCATTGTCAAACGAATTGGGAGACAAAGAGCCACACTACGATGATGCTCCTGGAAAACCTTACAGTTTTGGCACTGGTTATCTTTTTGAATTTGGATCAGGTTAAATTAGGAAAATATGGTGTGAATGTTACCTGATATTGTACATAATAGGTTTTATATAGATAAAATGTGCAATGTATGTGTGTGCAATAAAGTTATTTGTTTGTTTGTTTTAAAAATATATATATATATATATATTAAAGTTTAGTTAGTAAAATTATGGTTTTATTCACCTTAAAATTAATTCTGATTGCCCGTATTTCTAGCATTTTTGGGTCTTTGGTATTCTTTCACTTCGCGTTGGAAGTCCCGGACTAGCGACGACAGGACTTCGGGGTTGACTCCTACTTCGCACAGCCTGACACATACAGTTAAAGCTTCCGGGCTGAGGCCGGTGTTGAGTAAACGAGAAATTTCTTGGATTGTTTCCAATGTTGTTTGGGCTTCTTTGATTTGGGAAGTCAGGCTCGGTTCCATCTAGAGAAAAAATATTAGTTTAGCTACTGACTTGGGAAATATAAGGGACAAAGGAAATGTATCTGTATGCAAAAAAAAAAATCTTAAATACCCTGTCAAAAATAGTGGAAAAAGTGGTGAAAAATAGACTGATTTTTTATCACGTAACAATATAAGTTCGGATTTCAGTCATCTAAAAGTACTAGTGATGCTGTCTTTTGCTCCCTAGAGCAACTATATTTGAAACTGAACGATAGAGAGGTTGCAGCTGCAGTTTTTTGCGACCTCTCTAAAGCATTCGATTGTGTTAGACATGACATACTCTTGAGAAAAATGTAAATTTATGGAATTCGGGACACGTCATTGAATTTCTTTAATTCTCATATGTTTAAAAGAACCCAAATGGTTAAAAATAATAATTCCATATCATCATCCCTAATAATCGACACAGGGGTTCCACAAGGTTCTGTCATAGGACCTGTTTTATTTTTGATATATGTTAATGACCTTTTTAAATTGCCACTCCAATGTATTTTTACTGGTTTTGCAGATGATATTACACCTCATAAAGACCCACAGATCTTGAAAGAAATGGTTTTTAATGACCTCTATCAAATAAAAGCAAGGTGTGATTCAAATTTTCTAAGTTTTAATACTGAAAAAACCAAAATTCTTAGTTTTAAATTTTCATTCGACAATCTGCAACTTGGAAATCAGTCAATAGGTTTCAGTGAGGATACTAAATTTCTTGGAATTAATATTGACTGCAATTTGAAATTTTTCCAACATATAATCAACTTAAATAAGAAAATAGCAGCGGGAGATTATGCCGTACGCCAAACTTGTTATGAGTTGGCTCAGTCTATGGCTAAAACCACTTATTTTGCTCTTGTTGAGTCCCACTTGCGCTACGGAATCGCTTTCTGGGGAAACTGCATTCAGTATCTGTTTCAATCAGTATTTACCCTTCAGAAGCGTTCTGTTAGATATTTTTTTGGTGCAGGTCTCAGGGATCATTGCCGACTATTATTTCAAAGAGAAAACATGTTAACCTTGGTGGATATCTTTATCTTAGAAACTGGTTGCCTGGTTCACAAGAGGTACCAGGGTACTACACAAGCGCACTCCTGTTCAACGAGGAACTATAACCTGATACCTTTGCCTATACCAAGGTTCTCACTTACACAAAATTCTCTCATTTATAGAAGTATAAAAATATACAATAAGCTACAATTAAATTTAAGAACAGACCAACGTTATAAATCTTTTAGAAATAAAGTAAAATGCTTATTGGCTGATAAAGCATATTATTTTCTTGACGAATATTTCAATGACAACATTTAGCAGGTTCTTATAACTGGATGGATATACCTACTTGTAATGTTATTGGGGTCTGTGTCCTGATTTTAGTGTCAGTTCAACTGTATGTTTTATGAAACTTATATGACAGGGTTTGGGCACTTTCCAAAATTCACCGGTTTCTGAAACGATGCGATACCGGTTTGAAGGTTTACTCACCAAACCGTTCCAAAATGTACCGACTTTTTACCGGTTGAACCAAATCGTCCGTTCCAAAATTGACCAGAATGATCAGCTGTTTGAAACCGGTGAGGCACCGGATCCACCGGGAATTTTTGTCGGTTTTTTCGGTTGGAGATTTTTTGACACTTTTTTTTTGACGTAGGTAGGTACCATCCTCACAAAAAGTAACTGGGACAGCAACATATTATCTCTTAAACCCCTCGTTTTTATTCTCATCGGTGAGTTAGCTATCTTTGTTTAGTGAATGGAAAATGACAATGACGGCCATAGAATGGTGGATCCATCGGTAAAATTTGATGAGAATAAAAACGCAGGGATACTCTTATATATGATTTTTAGTGTCAAATATTTGTCAAACTATGAATAAAATGAATGATGGTATTGGCAGTCCTTCATTAAATTGTTGCAGCACAACCGTCACAACCAAACTTTTACACACCAAAGCGTTCCAAAATGCATCAGAAAAATCTTGTAACCGGATTTACACCTAAGTTTCACCGGAATTTTTTAACAGCTACCGGCTCATTTAACCGGTCAATTTATCGGTGAAATTTGGAAAGTGCCCTTTACCTAATAATACATCGACAAAAAAAAAACATTACAAATTCACCAATATTCAGTCATCCTATTTTTATTGTCCATTACTTTGCCTGTCACCACTTCTAGTACCATTGATTTGATTCTGATTAATATTTGTAAAAAGTGATAGTGATTCTTGTACGACAGGGTTCTGAGATGTAATGAAATACTATTTTTAGGGGCGAATTAAAGGGGGCTGTAGCTTCGTCCGTTTACCAAAAATTAAAAAAAGGGTCTTCTATTTTCTCTTTAAATCTTTAAAAAAAATTTGTTGCATTTATTTTCGGACACCCTGTATACCATTAACTTAGACAAATACTAGTAGTACATAATCTGATGTTTTGAGCATTTCAGCAAGTGAAGAATTTATTTATCTCAATTATATACCTAATTGATGAATCATCACTGAAGTGATAAAAAAAGGGACCAGGGTAATGTAAACAAGCTTTGTACATTTCTTTTCTTATCTATTTTTATATTGGTCATTCGACTATTTGCAGTCATGGAGGAATAAGGTATTAAAAAAATAATAATTAAGCATTCCGAGTTTAAGTGAGTATTTTTGACCGAATTTTCTAATAATAATTGATTAGTGTAATACAAATTATTAAATTTCATAAGTACCGTTGTAACCAGCTGTTTTACCGCGGATATCAGTAGATTTTCAAGCAACTATAAAGCAAAATGAGGAAGGAATCTCAGAAACCTAACTACAACATAAAAGGGCTGATTGATGAATTAATAAGTGAGTTTTAATAGTGGTGTGATACAGCTAGGACCATCATTTGGTATATACAGGGTGTCCCACGGTGGATGGCGTATTAGACGTTTATGGAGAACTAAAAAGCGGATCATTTTGAAAATTTGGCAACCGGGATAAACGACCATGATCTACACTTTGAAAATATTTTTGACCATGCGGTGTTGCCGTTTCTACTCTAAACTAGTGGCAACATCACTATCTTAAATGGAACACCCTGTAAGTGATTGCATATTTGGATTCTACGTAAAATTCTGAGCAGATTTCATGTGATATACCCTATACCTAAGTTCAACTGTTTTGGAAATATTGACAGTTGAAAATTGACTTTTTGCAACTTTGACAGGCTGTGAAACCTGAACGGTTAATTTTAGAGGAGAACCGATTTTACATTCCTATCTTAGATTTTTATAAACTATCATTTGACATCAACTTTGAATTAAATCCATGATTAAAAATTTCAGTTAAATTTAATCTCCGGTTAAGTTCAAAGTTGGTGTCAAATGATAGTTTATCAAAATCTAAGATAGGAATGTGAAATCGATTCTCCTCTTAAATTAACCAATGAGGTTTTACAGCCTGTCAAAGTTGCAAAAAGTCAATTTTCAACTGTCAATATTTCCAAAACAGTTGAACTTAGGTATAGGGTATATCACATGAAATCTGCTCAGAATTTTACGTAGAATCCAAATATGCAATCACATACGGGGTGTTCCATTTAAAATAGTGATGCTACCACTAGTTTAGAGTAGAAGCGGCAACACCGCATGGTCAAAAATATTTTTAAAGTGTAGATCATGGTCGTTTATCCCGGTTGCCAACTTTTCAAAATGATCCGCTTTTCAGTTCTCCATAAACGTCTAATACGCCATCCACCGTGGGACACCCTGTATACTACTTATCAAGTTATCATTGGGTACCTAAGTAATTTGGTATTTCATGTTCTATGTATTGGGATTTCCATGTTAGCATATTTTTGGAAAACACTTGAAATGTAGAAATTCATTATCAAACAAGAATAAAAATTCTAGAATCGAGAACATTAAAATGGACAAAGGTCCTTCTTTGCTTTCTGTTTTTAGAAGATTAGTGCAAAAATGTTTTTTTGTATATCTAGTTCAGGTTGATAGTTGATGGATTCACTGCTCAACATAGAGAGCTCCTCAAATTATTCTCTATTTTTGGAAATCCAGTTTGTCATGATTTATTTCATAAGCTAGGAAGTTTTCGCAATTTTTTTAATCTCGCAACATGTCTGGCCAATTTCATCTGCTGGCTTTTACTCTGAATACAACACATGACTACTTTCAATGACTAAAAACTTTTGGTTGGTATTTACAGCGAATTCAGATCAACAGAGGCTAATGAGACTTTATTAGAATAGCTGAATGCTCTTCAACTTTGCCAGGCAAAATTATTTTTGTATTTTCGAGATAAAATCAAATATAATTAAGTAATCTAAAATTACAATTTCATTAAAAAATTGGATTAACTATCTATTTTAGGTACATGATTTATGGCCGTTTGCACCGATCATTTTAAGCGAGGTTTAACGATAATCAACGTTTCAAGTGATATTTTTACATGTAAAAATGTCAATTTAAACGTTGATTATCGTTAAACCTCCCTTAAAATGATCGGTGCAAACGGCCATTACTCTACTTACAATTAAAGCCAAGTACCTACTCATAACTGCGAAATTCGTTTTTTTTTGACATTGCTCCGACAATTTGACGTTTGAATCACGCATTTAACATCAAATTGTCGAAGCAATGTCAAAAAAGAGCGAATTTCGCTGTTATGAGTACTAGGCTTAAGAAAGGTGAAGTCTAAATGTCAACTTTTTGATTATCGATTTGTCAAGAGTAGGTCGTAGATAACGTCAAATAAAATATAACAAGCACGAATTTAGCATTCTACAATTGATGATTTGAACTTATAGGTACCAATAAAAAAAAATAGTGTAAAGTATTCGTGGATAACTGGTCTTTAAAACACTTGCTCTATTTCAAGCACTCCGGCTGCTTTATATCCACTTATACTTTAATATACTATTTAAATATCTGTTTTACAAAAATATAAAAGTTATGTTTAAAATTTCAACAATTACAAATTTACTATCACTCACTAATACAATAATTATCAGGACAAGGACATTTAAAAGGTTAGAATCAATAAATAAAATTTGAAAAAAAAAGTATACATATAGCAATGCCTAGAAACAATTTTTGGTTGATGTAACTGTAAAGGACAATTAATATGAAGATAATTTATTTGTTTCTTTTAAATAATTTTTATGCCTGTCCAACTGAGAGTGGAATTATAAAATTCATCTAGACTGTAAAACGCCTTTATTATGAGAAAATCTTTAATTTTTTTTCTTAAATTCGGAATTGTTTAGTTGTATTGCATGCTCTGGCAGTTTGTTAAAAAGTTTTACAGCATGGTATCCAGGTCCACCCCAACATCTCTGTAAACAATGGTAGATGGGTCTTAAGTTATTTTTGTTTTGCGTGTCATGGCTGTGAAAATCACCATTACACATAAATGAATCATAATGGTTCCTAACATAAACTAGATTTTGCAGGATATACTCACAGGGCAATGTCAAAACTCTGTTGTCAATAAAAGCTTGCTTGCAGTCACCCCCGATAACCCAAATCAGCTACTATTCTAACAGCCGTTCTCTTCATGGAGAAAATCCTTTGTGCTCCATTTGCATGACCCCATATTAGCAAAGCGTACCCTATATGCGAGTGCAGCAAAGAAAAGTATGTTTGTTTTGTAACTCTAGTGAGACACATCTTGCCAAATTTTTCAATAAAAATGTGTTTTGCAATGCTTATTTGAAATTATTTCAGTGTGTGCATCCTAAAGAAGTTTTTGGTCAAGGTGCACTCCTAAGAATTTTATACACTGTTGATCATGGGTTCTATATTTTTTAGAGAAAAAGTATAGTTTTGGGTTTTAGATTCATTCAAAAGGAGCTTGTTAGCATGTTCTATACATATATTGTAGAGGAAATGGTGTTATTTGAACAAGATTATTTCAGAAGAAGAATACTGCAAGAATACTTTTTTCTTATGTCTAGTTTAGGTTGGTATCATCATCAGTCTTCTGGGTCCACTACTGAAGATAAGTTATTTCCAGGTCTTCCTCTTCTAGGCACTTGCAATCTAGTTTGTCTTTGATATTTTTTCAGCTAGGTAGGAATGTGTTGGCAGTTTTCTGGATCTTGGATAAAGCACAAATGTCTACCTTCAATGCTTAAGAACTGGGTTGGTATTAACAGAGAATTCAGATGAACAGAGGTTTTATGAATCAAACGCTGGTGTATCCAAAGAGGTAATTTTCTAACTTCAACACTAAATTTTTAGGTACTAAAATTGCTTATTTTTTGCAGATGAGCATGCTCTATATTGAAGCAGAAATGTTCTTGTTCAGGGAAGATTGTTCAGGAAAGATTGTTTCGGAAGCATACCAAAGACACAAGTGTACAAACAAGGCAAATATTTGAGGCCATACCAACAGGCAAAAGAGGCAGAGGAAGACCAAAGCTGTTGGGCTGTAGGACTAATGATGATTCATTTTGGATCCAGCACATATGCCTACAAACCCTTGGTCCTTGGTTGGAGATTTCATGGATCAATGGGAATACTATTTTTCAGCTGTGAAGTTACATATACGACAATTCTCAAAACAATCCATGATCTGACCGAATCTTCCGGTATGGGGCCCCGGGGAGGCCTAATGCCATAGTTGTCCTAGATCCCTTTTATTGCACTAATATATAATTTACGGTAAGCATAGCAGTGGAGCCATCCAAGCTGGCAAGAGGGTGTTGAATTATGGAAAGTTGTCGGTCTTGATTGTACAATGTAATTTCGAAGTGGATTAGGCCTGATAGGAAAGCCACTTGAAAAAAAAACGCACCAACAGCTCATATATTGAAGGTTGTGTGGAAAACAAGCAATTTAAATTACAAAGGCTAATACGCTTTCTTATAGACAGAAACTTGAAATTTTCAGGGAATCTTAAGTAGGTATGAGTCCCCATAGAAAGGTAAAAATGAGAAGACCAAGAGGATTTGAAAGAAAGTGGCTCTCTGTGACCTATAGTGTATTTTTTCCCAAGATAGATTTTGACATTGAGAACATTGAAACATAAGCGATGCCACTTATTGATCCCAACAACACCTGTTGAAACTGATTCCAACCTGCAGGGACGAGACACACTTTTGTAGGTATATAGTCGGTCATTAAGTGTGGAGCCTGCTTACGAAGGCCTGTCCCAAAATAAATTAAATATAAATTGTCTGTGATGAACCTTCACTAAACTGTTACCCACAGGATTTTAGCATACCTTTTACCAACTTCCAAGTTTTGCACTAATAATCTCTTAAGATAAGGAATAAGGAATCTCCATCTTAAAATATGAAAATTATCCTTCTCAAGCAAAAGATTATCCTCGAAATAATTATCGTAAAGCACCACAAAATACACAGAAATCAGTTTTATGGCGACAAAACCGAGGAAAAAACATCACAGTTGCCTGAAGATAATTGCAAGGAGTAAAAAATGGAATCCTTAAGGTGTCCTTAAGACGCCAATTCTATTGTTTGACCCACAGGTTTGACCATGGCCATATATTGATTGAATTTCTTTCTATGAGAATCTCATTGTGATTTGTGACGACCATGCCTATAAGGTCCTAAAGATACTCATTGATTGGTAAGGCTTGAGCTGAGGCTTGAGGTAAAGTAAGGCTTATTAGGGTATAGACGATTTTTACAATGATATTGTATAATGTGCAATGTTTTATTGTTATAATATTTAATTAAATAATTTATTGTATCTCATGTTTAATTTGTTTTATTGTATGTATTCCCTTTATTGTTGTTTCTCAATGAGGCTTATTTTGAATTTGTACTATGTATACAAGATCTATACAAATTTTACATTGTTTTGGAGTATGACTTACCTCGAACGATTTTGGAACCTTGACTTTTATTATGGAGTTTCAATTTTATTTTTATTATTAAAAAAGCTTATTTTTATTTTTGTAAAGTTTCTCTTTGATTTATCGTAGGCTCTGTATCTCTATTCTTCAACCTAACTTTTCACATTTTGAATTTTGTATTTAGTTGTTTTTATAATGACAGCTGAACTCGAATGAGTTTTTTTTTACGTTCACCAATAGAGGACGCCACAAACGAATTTACTATCCTTGCGTTCAGTATTTTGCTCAAAGAGCAAAGCTTGTTGAGCGGAGCCGTAATAAACCATTTAATAAACGAACTTGAATGAGCCTGCACCGAATACACTGTATACTTTTTAAATAAACGAACGGTAAATTCAAGCTCGGAGAACGATCAAATAAATAGTCACTGTAGATCAGAATACCGAACGCACGTCGCACGGTATATTTTACTAGGTGGGTTCGACTTGCTCACTCGCCTCACTCCGAGTGACTCTATTCACACTCCAGCCGTTCGGGTTTGGAATTTTCTCGGATTCCGAACCCATTTACGAGATCAGAACATTCCGAATTTTTCTAATCCCAGTCTCTTGAATTCTCTTCACCTATTTCAACAAATGCAAGAGCCAGGAATAGACAAAACTTGAGCTGGATGCTGGATAAATTGAGAAAAGAAATTTAGGAGGAAGTGAGAAAAAATTGGTCGACAAAGACCATGGGCAGTTCTTCACAATCTTCACTGACTTTAGTGCACGTCGACATGCAAGAAGGAATTTTTATTACTTAATCCAGACAGTCGATCATAATCAGCAGAAACATCGTATACTACGCCTGCAAAAAAAAAAAAAAAACACATCCATAGACAAAAAATGTATATTTAAGAAAATATTCTTTTGACAAATCCCAATACTTATTCATTATTATCATTTGCACTGACAATAACTTCTTTAGTAGCTTCCTTTTCCATTTTCTGTTTCCAACTTTTAGCAGCCGCTAACAACTTCAAATTGGGCCTATTAGACTCATCTTCAGGGAATATGTAATCAAACACTTCTTCCCAGCCTTGTTCGTTGCCTTCCTCGTCAATGACCTTTTGCCTCTTTTTAATTCTCTTGGGCATCATGTTGGTGATTTTGTTCAGAGATGTTTCATCTCCATGCATATTTTCAAACTCTTTCCAATTTTCAAACAGCAACACCCTGCTCTCTTTGTCCGGGGAACTTTTCAGGTTTTCATTAGCTCTTTCAAACACTCTTCTGGCCAAACGAATGTTCATACCATCATCAGACTCTTGGTTTAATTCAAACTTAGCATAAGACAGCCATACTTTAACGTGTGAAGTTCTTTCTAAAAGTCTCTCATAAATTTGCCTAGCATTTTCTGGTTCTTCTTGAGCTATTTCAAAATCAATATAAGATTTCCATAGCAGCTCTGGCATGTCTAATCTAGGCACATTAATTGCAAGCTCATAAATGCCTCTAGCTCTCTCAAAATCGCCCAATAGGGTTTCAAGTTCAGCAAACTTCATCCAAGTAACACAATTCTCAGGCCCAAATTCCAGAAATTTCTCATACAATTTTCTGCACCTGTCAAATTCTCTTAGCTGAATTTCTATCTCTATGTAGCCGCGGAATAATTTGTCTCTTGGGCACATGCCTATGGCCATTCCAAGTATTTTTCTAGCTGATGTTAAATTTTTTTGCCTTATTTCAAATTTGGCATAGAGCAACCAAACTTTGGAAAAAGTGAACACTTTATGATTTAGTAGTTCCAAACAGGCTTTGTATACTTGTCTAGTTCTGTCATAGTCTTGGGCTTCTAGTTCTTCGTAGCAAGCATAATTGATCCATAAATAAATGTATCTTCTCCAAAAATCTTTATTTTTTAAAGGTGGAACGTTAGCAATGGCCCTTTCGTAAGTTTCTCTTATAATATCAGTTTCACCTTGGCCTTCTACAAGTCTAATATAATCAAACCAGGCATCGTAATTTGTAGGATTTGCAGCTATTTCTTGTTCATATTGGAATTTTCTTTTAGATACAATAACTTCTTCAATTCCACTTCTATCCCCAAACTTTTTTTCATGAATAGTATAAGCTTTATAAAGCTCTTTAGTTTCTTCTTTGGGAATGTGATCTAGAGCGTATTTGTAAATAACCCTGGCTCTATCGTGCTCTTTCTGATTTTCTTCAAATTTGGCAAAAGCAATGTATAGTTTCTCATCCATGTAATCATCACCAAAAAATTGTACTGCACGTTCAAATATTTGCCTGGCTGAATGTATGAATGCATGGTTTTCTTCAAAACGTGCAAATTTGATCCAATGTTTTACTTGTGGGTGGGTTATTACAAATCTTTCATAAATTTGCCTTGCTCTATCGATTTCCTTGTATCTAAGCTCAAAGTTAATATAGGTTTGCCAGGCTTGTTCTTCTGGTTGCCATTCCATCCAACGTTCAAATACTGCACGAGCTCCTGGAATGTTCTCTAGCGTTTCTTCCATGTAGGTGTATTTATACCAAAACTGATTGACTCTTGGGAGGATAGTTACTGCTCTATCCCATAAATTTCTCGCGTGGTTCACTTGCCTGCATCGCATTTCCATTTCGGTGTATTTTAGCCATATTGTGATGTTTCTGTGGTCCACATCCAAGGCTCTCTCCCAAATAGACCTCGCTCTTTGAATCTCCTTTTGAGACTCTTCCCATTGTGCATATTTAATCCAGTTGGATATTACTGTACGATTTTTACGGATGTTGTCTTCGAATTGCTTACGCCTTCTGAGCTGATAGTCGGCTAGTTCGGCTGGATCAGAGATTTTCTGTTTCGGGGGCGGCGGTAGGATTTCCAAATCCCTTTCTTTTGCTTCGCGCAGCAACTGTTCGGCTGTAATTTGGATTTCGGCGGGCGCTTTGTTTTTGACTTTGGCCACTTTGGGCATTTTTTGGGCTTTTCCTTCCATTTTTGAGGGAAAATTAGGTGGAAAATGGTTTATTTAGCTTCTGAAAGTTGATTTCTCACTTTCAACAATAACAAACAACAAGAAAGTGGGGTTAAGGTTGCTTATCCAAAATGTCGCCTGTCAAATATTGCTAACCAGAATTTTAAGGGTGCGTTCACATGTGATTTTATTACTGCACTATTATTTTGAAATGGAACTTTTAACAATTTGCTTGAATTTTCACAATCAATTACATTATAAAACCTATTCTATCTTCTATCACAAACCTATCTGAGCTCGAGCAAACCCTTGTTCTGTTATACATGGAGGAGAGTGGTCGCAAACTGGTAGAGGTAATGTAGAATGCTGGCTGCAGTGCAGCGGTTTATAGATAAGTGATAAAAGAAATGTGTCGCATGTTTTATTAGGCATTCCAGCATCGATTAAGGGCCGAATTTATAGTTGTTCCTTGACTCTTCCTTGGAGGTCGTGAGTTTAGAATGGACGCTTGCTACTATTTGACAAGTTAGTCTAGCAATTCTAAACATTCAAGGCTTCCTTAAGGTATGAGGAAACCTCAAGGAGCGACTATAAATTCGGCCCTAAAGGCGATAAACCGATCGGTCATAGTTGACAGATAACCAATGAAGCAAACGTCATTTGTCAACCAATCGGTAATAAATGACAGTAAATGCATTGTTCATCTGTCAATATAACCGACTGGTTATTCGCCTTTAATCGACTCAGGTCACGTGACTTTTGACAGGTCCGCCATATTAACTGAGGGGCAAACAAAGCCTATAGATCATCCCACTAAACATGTAATCATAGAAAAGTGATTTATATTCTTGATATAGAACGCTCACTTCTGTTGTAGTCGCCAAGTGACATTTCCGACGGTGCTGCCATAGCGGTGTAGTCATTAAACTAATATTTGGCGGGACGTTTGAATCTCGGCTTTAAATTATTGGTTTAACATTTAACATTTCAATTATTTCAAAATCAGGCAGTGCTCCAAAACTTCATAAACTAAATTTTTTTATATTTCATTTACAATACAAAACCAAAATTTCTGTTTCTGTGTTGTTTTTGATGTAGATTTCTCTGGTACGTGGCTGCAATTTGGTTTTGGCCGATTTATTTTTTGCCGCCTGAACCCTGCATTTTCATGACTGGTTTTTATATCCACGATTCTATATCGGTCATTGTCATTTTCTATTCACTAAACAAAGATAGCTAACTCATCGGTGAAGTCAGATGTTAGAATAAAGACAAGGGAGACGTTCAGAAACGGCGATATGGGCGCACAGCGGTGTAGTCACGAACTAAAACAAAAAGTGGAGGGGATGAATCCAGTGAATGTTCTATTTAAGAATTTATAAATCACTTTTCTATGCATGTAATATTGCAAAATTTGTCAGCAATATTGTATCGACCTTACTTTAGAAAATTTATTACGTAATGTGACGTTAAGCTTTCTAACATATTACTTATCCAATGTGAAGGGATATAAATTTGATATAACTTCAATAAAGAAACATTCGTTTTAGTTATCAAGTAAATGTTGCAGTAGATACAATAATGTATTACATTTGAGACATAATAAAATGTAAGTAAAGCAAATATTATAACAATGTTATGAAATGTAACTTTTCTCAACTCTGTCGCTTTTAATGTTGCGGACATATTTACGTTTGTAACATTGAAAGTATATAATAAAATAAATGGTTGCATAAACATTATAAGCTCAACTTTTCTTAAAACTGTCGCTGTAATGTTGCAGATACCTTTACATGCGTACGTTAACAGTTTCAAGAATAAAAAACGTTGCCTAAATATTTCAATATAAACTTTGGAATAGAAAACATTAATTTTCTCAATGATGCATAAAGCTTTCAGATAGATTTTATTTGCAATATGCTGTCTTTGTCTCTGTCTTGCACAAATATATTTGACTGACAAAGACTGGACAATTATTTGGGAATTCGGAACGGCGCAGATGCACCACCCATTTGTTGTTGACCTGTTGACGCCACGCCAAGAAAAGCCAGGACGCTAGGACGGAGGACGCAGACGACGCTTCTTTTTTCTTGGCTTGTTAAATAATACAAGAGCATTGAACAGGACGAAGGGTTCATCAGGATCTTAAGATGTTGTGAGAGGAAGTGAATAAAGCCAATGTTGTAAGATTTTAACATTTTAATTTATTGTGATATTTTAATGCTGTTCAATTTTTAATTTTTTACAATACCTATGTTGGAGGAATCGAGGTATGTGTGATAAGATCAATTGGAAATTGGAAGTTTATTAACTAACCATTGTGCTCGGTCTGTAGTTGATAGACTGGCAGAAAAGGGAATTTGAAAATGAAGGATCTTGCATTAATGCAAATCCTTACGATATATTAAATATCTATCATATATACAATATTTCATTATGTATTTTTCTGTAAAGTACCAATAAAAATATTGCAACTGTAATATTTATCTAAGTTTATAAACAACGTTAAATGCAGATTTCTGTAAGCTAGCATTTTTAATGTTACAATAAACGTAATTTATTTTTTATGAAAATACAAGTTTGAGGCGATATTGCAGAAAAGTTTATTCTGTAAACATTGCATTTGTGAATATTAGAATAAGTCCGTTTCAGTACTTGCAGCAACCTTGCACTTATATAGCAGCAATAAAAAATGAAATATTACAATATTATCTAGAAACATTACTAAAATATTAAAGCGATATTACATTGCTTAGTGGGATATTGTTTACAGTGTTTTCTGAGTTTGTGCTTCGGAATTTTTGCGTTTTTTGATTTGTCAATAAGTTAGATGGTACCAGGCGGACGGGTTAGTTTGGGTAAGTGTTTTTGTCCAGTTCAGATATCGCTATTTTTAATGTCGCTCTATTGATACGCCGCCCAAAAACTGACTTCAAATTCGTGGTCAGCGACCAAAAATAAGTCGTTGTCGTTATGCACAAAATTAGCGAAATAGAACACTCGATAGAACATAATTAGGGTTGCCAGATACTTGAGTTTTGAAAATAGGAGAGCTTGTGAAAAATTATATGAGACTGGATAATAATATATGAGAATATTTTATGTACTGCAAAATACTTAAACCCGTTGATGTTTAAACAAATCCCTGACCCAAAATAATTTTCTTTTTTTTCTGTTTTTACTTTTATTTTTATTTATTGTTTACAAAAGCGACAAAAGTAAAATATTATTTATTCGGCAACGTCGGAAAAAAAGTTGGAAATATTCGGATAAAATGTGGCGGGAAATTTTTCAGCCAATAGGAGCTCCATCGTACCATCGGACGGTCGGATGGGACGCATCGCATGAGACTCCATCCTATAACCGGAGTCTCATGCATCCGACGTCCGATGTCCGAAAAACCTCCTATTTTGACATATTTTTATACGATTATGCCGGACATCGGACGTCGGACGTCGGAAAACGGATGCATGAGACTCCGACTTATCACGTGTATGGTAGCAAAGACAATACTACGTAGTAGTATTGTCTTTGATGGTAGTGATATACATGGTTTCTTTTTTTTGATCAAAATATATGAGAAATAGTCTCATATTAAACATGCTAATATGAGATATGCGAGAAACAGTTAAAATATGAGTCTCATATTAAAAATAGGAGGTCTGGCAACCCTAAGCATAATAGACCCGATGATAGATATCTCGGAAACGAAACGCGAGCGACAAAAACAGATTTCAGATTTCCTACTTATAATTTTAGTACTATAAATTTAGATATATAGAAATAATATTTATAGATTTAATATTGAAAGCAATTAAATAAAATGTAAAAACATTTCTAGTTATTTATGTCGGAATCTTCGACCATATGGTTTCGCCGCTTCAGTTCAATAGCATAATTCTGTTTTCCTCAATCAATCAAAAAAAAAAAAAAAAACATTTTATATGATAAAGCATTAAAAATTTCAAAACAAAATGAATATGTAATTGGAAAAAAAATTACACCTAAATTATAGAATTGGTTGTTCAAAATATCCCAAATGCCAAAAAGTAATGAGATGAGATTTTTTTTGGATGTGAGTATTATTTATTGAAAAATTTGAATAATCCTCACTTTTTTGGAAGGATAATAAAAAACAAATCAATTAATACCAACATTTTTCAAAAAAAAATCATTTTTGAGAAGTTACCACCTTATCTCAACCATCACCTCGGTCTGTTCTTACAGAAGAAATTAAGGCAACGTTCCGTAAGTTAACCAAGATTCTTGGTTTTTCCGGTTCCCGTTCTGTAACCTAACCACTCTCGAAATCTGGTTAGGTTATGAAACGCGGTTCCACACATAAACCGCATTCTCAGGAACCAGACCGTCACCATAGACGAACCGCTCCATACCAATCGGTAACTCTGGTTAAGATACGGAACGCCGCCTAAGTGTTCTTGATCCTCGAATATCCCAGAATTTTATGGTGGAGGAGTTAGGGGAGTATGACACATTTAACACATCACTTCATAATCCAGCATAATCGAGTATGCTTGATTATCCTCGCGAAAAAATGCCTAATGATAGAATGTGAGTGTGAGTAAACTTGTGTAGGGTTGCTTAAATGTACTGTAGACTTTGTAGTGTACACCACGGTAGTATAGTCGCCGCCACAGATAATCGAGATTCCTACAAAAAATCATTTCTTTGTCAGCGATGCCAGGATAAACAAAAACCGCAGCAAAAACTCTACAGATAAGGGTTGAGAATAAATTTAGTCCAAGAGCATCAATTAAATTCATTCTGCGTATAGTATTATAAAACTTAATTTCTTGCATTCAATATTTGAAAGATCTTTTAAGAAAATTGCAAATAATTTGAAGCATTATTTACAACAATTTAAACCGAATAATTTCAAACCAATCTAATCTTGTACTCAAGCGGTTCCTGACACGTGCTCCCTGACTAAATGCAGTCCGGCTGATAATATAAACATACTTTTCTGTACGAATCTCAAATATGTCTGGCGGATACTATACCAACACTCACTACTCCTTTTGAAACAGTCAGGAATTAATAAGCCCTTATTATATTCAACTGACCTGCCCTAAGACTCACCTCTGATATAAACCTAAGCTCTGTTCCAACACACCAAGAAACCGTACATTACACAGTCAAGATTCTGCGCAAATCCAAGAATTTGTGCGCAGAACCCGAAATTCGTGTGGTTTGGAAACCGTTTATGGGACGGTTTTTGACGTGTTGGAACAAACCTCTAATGATAGAGTGCATAGCGTACTGCCAGCAGGACAAAAAGTGAACATTTGAGGACCCTATTAAAATGCCTATATTAGGATTAAGAGACCTGCTAGAAGGACTTTTAGACCTTCTAGTAAATAGAGAAATTCTTGAACTTTCAGCGCATTTTTTGATCACAGTCCTATTGCTAACCGTTATCGAGTAATTATCAATCAAAGTCGCGCCATTTTAGTCTTGAAAATGATACCTATTGGAACGCGTGTGGCCGTTTTAGCCACATGAATATAATAATATTTCGATTTTAATTGGGCCTACTATCTTGTTTTTCGACCAAATTCACAAATCAATAATTTAAATAATCTGGTGTTTGGCGGAGGGTTAGCCAGACTTGGTGGGCGTATAGATAGGCCCATTTCGAAGATATTTTATTAATAAGATTGTGGCCTTAAAGCTCCTTTTTTTTTCATCATTTTTTCTCGAAAATTTTCAAAAATTAACCTTTTAACTTCTGTAACTTTTTTTAAAATATTTATAGAAACTTTTGTTGCATGTGTTTTTGGTCTGTAGAGTATCCGTGATAACACCAGAAAGTTAAAAGGTTATAGAAGTTAAAAGGTACATTTTTAAAAATTCTTGAGAATAAATACAAAAGCAATGATATTAAAAAAACGGGGACCTTAAGGGCATTAGTGTATTAAGAAAATATCTTCGAAATGGGCCTACCTATACGCCCACCAATTTTGGCTAACCCTCCGCCAAACAGCCTATATAGGTATAAAAATCAATGTTTGCTGGATATCCGGCTATGCGCTCCTACACCACTTATTCGATTACGATGAAACTTTGGTAGATTGTTATGGCCATCCCAAGGAAGGTTTGTGGATAGGTTACGCATCTCGGAAAAAGAAATTAATTTTGAATTAATTATTAATTTAATTGTGAACAAACTCATTCACATTACATAACCACATAACCCAACTATTTTTTGACAGCATGAAACAACGTTGTCATATTTCATTCATTTAGGCTTGCCATTCAACCGACGTAACTTTATTATTTTTTGAATTCGAGAACGGCTGGACCGATCTTGAATTTTTTAGAATTACTAACCCTATAATTTTAACCATGTTGTCTGACTGGGAAAATAAGTGCCGAAAATCGTCACTGCCTCCTAGACTATCAAGAAAGCTTCACTTTAAAAAAACGTTTCTGTGCTATTAGGAAATAGATAGGTATACCTACTACCTACTTAGTTTCATTCATTTTCAACCAAATTCGACATCAATGTTTAAGATCCAAGCTCTCAAAAATATGTATTGTAATGCAGTTTCTTAAAATATTTTAAAGTTAATTTAGACAACCATCCAAGGACCTTTTTTTTCAGTTATACATGTAAACCCCATACTTTGTGAGTGGCTTATTGCTTACATCAAGTCCTACAACTTTTCCTCTACGACTTTTCTCGGAAATGGCACGTATGCGCGCAGGCGACTCGCAAACATGTCGATCTGACGTAGCTATGTTTCCTGATACATGTAGGTAAATCTAATTTTACGAATACTGTTTGATTTTTATGTCTAAATCACGGAAATCAACTTGGCCGACAAAAATACTGGCAAATTGGGGGAGTCCGATACCCCCAAAATGTCGATCTGGCGTGGTTATGTTTCTTGATACATGAAAATCTATAATTTCACGAATATTGTTTGATTTTTATTTCTAAATCACGGAAATCAACTTGGCCGACAAAAATAATGGCAAATTGGGGGAGTCCGATACACCTAAAATGTTTGCGAGTCGCCTGCGCGCATACGTGCCATTTCCGAGAAAAGTCGTAGAGGAAAAGTTGTAGGACTTGATGTAAGCAAGCCACTCACAAAGTATGGGGTTTACATGTATAACTGAAAAAAACGGTCCTTGGATGGTTGACTAATTGGTATTCATTATTTTTGACCTTTTCTGAGTAAGCTTTGAGCAAATTCCGCCTCCTTGCAGCTGATTATTTTTACTCCATCATCAGAGGAGCTTTATTTAGTTCATTTATGAATTACAGAATCTGCTTGTTAACCAATCAAAGAGGACAGCATTTTCTTCAATCGTTAATTTGCAGTAAAACTGCATCTAAACTTTTTACAATTTAATATATAATTTACACTTAAATTCCAAATCTTAAACTACTTATCCTAGCACTCTTTTATCAAAAATATTTAAAAAAATGTGACATATTTTATTTTCTAAACTTATCACTTGTCGGCAGTATCAAATATTAAAAATCAATAAATAAAACACTATAGAATCTAGAAGAAACAAACAGCTCCGATTTCTATCCAGAAACTTTGGTCAGCTTTTCCAACATCTCTTACGCCAATATCGGTTATTGGCAGTCTAGATGGTTTGTCCGTTTTAAATTCCAATACAGACTTTGCCCATGAATCTTTGCGATACTACAAAAACAAATCAATCAAACAAATAGTAGGTGATTTCCAAAACTCAAAATTTACCTTGCACTCATCAATGAGAGCATCATACTTTAATTTACTTCCTCTTGGAGTAATTTCCACATCGTTATAGCTCATTAGCTTCAACCCCTTTCTATAAGTGTGTTTATGAACGTCATAATAAGCCACTGAATTCCTACAGTGATAAGTGATATTTTGACTTGCTCCAGAGGATAGTAAGTGTAAATAACCAATTTGAGTGGAATCTGCTTTATAAGTTAGCTAAAATAATAATATGTCACCATATAAGAATCTTCCATTACTATACTATGTATATTACCTCAAATCCTTTATCCATTTCTCCTAACCAAATTTCAGGTTCATTCCCAAGATATTTCAATTCCTGAGATCTAGCAGGACTAGGATAAATGCAAGAAGCTCTTCTTTCCATATCACAATGCACCAGAATCGAATCTTTTGAATCTCCATCATTAGGATCAATCCAATATTGTCCGCTAGGAGATTCAGGATAGGCAGCCAGAATGTCCCTGCAAGTCCTTCCCGGACTTGTTTTCTCTCCGTTAGGTTTTTTGAACTTTTCGAAAGAAGCTTTCAGCTGCTCGTAGGCTTTGTTAATTAATTCTTTGGTTTCCTCCTCGGTCAACTCTTTACCAAAAACTCTTGGAACGTACGGTTCATCACTTAGAGGATCTGGACCTTTTTGGGTGTTCGCGTTAGCCAAAATAGCCGCTAAAGAGGCTGCATCGTATCCTATACCTTCTCCTGGAGGGCCTGGTGGCCCTGGAGGACCTACGAAACATTTGCTTACCAATTATTTATTAATAATAAGTGAACTATAATTACCTGCATTTCCTTGGGGTCCTGGTCGTCCTTCGCTACCACTTTCTCCTCTTAAACCTGGTCCACCGGGTAATCCTGGTGGTCCAGGATTGCCATCTCTTCCAGCTTGTCCTCTGGGGCCAGTATCACCGTCTTTTCCTGGAAGACCTGGTGTACCCGGTATGCCTTTTTCACCTGGCGGACCTTGTTGGCCAGGTAAACCCTATAACAAGAATTGGAAGGACTTATGCTACTGCTACTAGTAATTTTCTCCATGTTTTGCAGAAAAAATGATACAGTATTTTCTTACTTGTAATCCCATAAGTCCAGTGTGTCCTTTAGCACCTTTAGGTCCCAATTCACCTCTTTCCCCTTTAGGACCCTCGACGCCCTGTTGTCCTTGTTTGCCTCTTTCTCCAGCTCGGCCTTCAATACCTTGTAGCCCTTGTTCGCCTCTTAGACCTCGCTCGCCTGTCAATCCCATTGGACCAGTTTGACCTGGAGAACCCTTAAACATGATATTTTCTTTGAAAAAATTGCTTCAATAATGCGTAAAATAATTTCTTACTGGTAATCCTGGTGGGCCACTCGGTCCCGATTGTCCAGGAGCTCCTTGAGGTCCTTTATCGCCAGTGCGACCTGCAATTCCGGGGGGACCCATTTTTCCAGGAGGACCTAAATAAAACTTGTTAATATCTGCGCAATTCTATATGCACGAATTACCTTCTGGTCCTTGATCTCCACTTAGTCCAGGAGGACCATGAGGTCCTGGCGGTCCTTGAGGTCCCATAGGTCCTTCATTTCCTGGTTTGCCTTGAATTCCTTGTTCCCCTGCAGGGCCTCGATGGCCGATCTGACCTGCTGCGCCTGGCACACCAGGTAATCCAGGTAAACCTGAAAGGAAAATAATTTTATTTTTGCTTATTATTGCAATAATAATAGTGTTATATTACCTCTATCTCCTGCTTGTCCTTGTGGCCCAGGTTGTCCAACAAGTCCAGGAGATCCGTCCGATCCAGATTCACCTTTTGGCCCTTCCAATCCAGGCAATCCAGGTAAACCTTGAGGTCCCGAATTGCCAGGTCTACCTTGCTCTCCGGAACTTCCTTTTATTCCAGGCAAACCTTGAGGTCCGGCTGGTCCCGTGTTTCCAGGATGACCCTAAAATACATATCGCATGTAATTGCACTGAGAAATTTATACATGAACGTACTGCAGCTCCAAGTTCTCCTGGTCTTCCTGGCGATCCCATTAAACCCACGTCACCACGGGCACCTGCTTCACCTCTAGCCCCTTTGGCGCCAGTTAAACCGATTGGTCCTTGTAAGCCTTGTTCTCCAGGACGTCCTGCTTGTCCTGGACTTCCTTGCATACCCTACAACAAATTTTATTTATTCGTTTTTTAAGACATTTAATTGAGTTATTATACCTTAAGACCTGCTGTACCTCTTTCTCCTTTCACTCCTGGTAGTCCAATTAGGCCTGGCGGTCCAGGGAAACCTTGAGGTCCTGCTGGGCCAATCTACAATTTTACTATAAAACAAAAACCATGATTTATTGTGTATTTATATACCTGTCCTCTTTCCCCTGGACTTCCTGGTGCACCAGATTCTCCTGGAGTACCAGGTGTGCCAGGTTCTCCTGGCGCAGCTGGTTCACCTGGCGGTCCCGGTTGTCCTGGTGGACCTAACGGACCTCTTTCTCCTTGGCGACCTGCTGGTCCTTCGGGACCAACAGGTCCGAAAGATCCTCTTTCTCCCTTTTCTCCTTGGAATCCTTGTTGGCCTCTTAGACCTGGTAGACCCACTAAACCTGGTGGACCTTGATGACCCTTCATACCTCTGAGACCTGGTATACCCTAAATAAAAATAAATACATTGTCATTCTATTTTTGAGCCAAACATTCGTTAAACTACCGGTGGTCCTTCCAATCCTTGAGATCCACTAGATCCTTTAGGTCCAGGACCTCCAGGTTGTCCAACCGGACCACGTTCTCCTGGAAAACCTCTTTCGCCCCTAATTCCTATGGCTCCGGGCATTCCTGGTGGTCCTTGCAGGCCGATTTCTCCATCTTTTCCTGGTTGTCCAGGATTACCGGGTGTGCCCGGAAGTCCCTGGAATCCTCTCGGTCCGGCTACACCTTGTGCGCCACGCTCACCGTCATGTCCCGGTGGGCCTTGAGGTCCTTGAGCACCTGGCTGACCATCTTTGCCCAAGTCACCTCTGGGACCTTGTTGGCCTTGGGGACCTGGCTCACCATCTTTACCTGGTTCACCCTATGGAAAATTTTGGCATAAAACAGCAGAATTTTTTATTAATTTACTTACAGTCAATCCTTTATCTCCTGGAGGACCGATAGGCCCTGGAATACCTTGTATTCCTTGTACCCCTGGTTCGCCAGGTTTACCATCTTGTCCGGGCAGGCCTCTTTCTCCTACTGGTCCGCTTTTTCCAGGTGCGCCTGTTCTGCCTGTTAAGCCTCTGAGTCCCTGCATACCCATGGCACCAGTTTTTCCAATTTCTCCTTGAGAACCTTTCATACCTTGTAAGCCTTGGAAGCCACGTTCTCCAGCTTGACCTTTAAGAGGATAAAAATATTGTTTTTTTTTTAAATTATTTTTAGATCGTTACCTTTCACTCCTGGGGCACCATCAGGTCCAGGTAATCCTGTAATACCAGGCAAGCCTCTGTCACCTTGAGGTCCTGTCGAACCAGGCGGTCCCCTATTTCCTCTCCTGCCTCTTTTACCCTCAGGACCCGCTAATCCTGGAAGTCCTCTAGGACCTGATTGTCCTGTTTCACCTTTTGGTCCTGAATCTCCTTTATAACCGCGCTCCCCTTGTAAACCCTGAAAATAATACAAATTAATCAAATGATTGTTATACATTGAAAGATTCTAAAGAAGTTTTTCTTACTGGAAGTCCTTTAACTCCAGGTACGCCAGGAGATCCATCTAATCCTGGAGGTCCTTTAGCACCAGGAAAACCAGGTGGGCCCATAAGACCCGTAGAGCCGGTTGCGCCTTTTTCTCCTGGGTATCCGTCTTTTCCTGCGGGACCTTGAGGTCCAGTTTCACCTAAAATTAAAATCGAATATGTATTTGTTTAGCTTAAAATATTAGAAATTTACCTGGAATTCCAGGTCGTCCTTCTTCTCCTCTAGGTCCTTGCAATCCTTGACTACCGACAGGACCCACTGACCCTTGATCCCCTTTCGCACCAGGTATTCCTGGGAATCCTGGTGGACCAGGTTTACCAATAGCACCCTGCAAATTGGCATTTTATTTAAAAATGAATCGATTTAAAAAAAAAAACTCATACAGGTAACCCAGGTGGTCCTGCGACACCATCAATTCCTCTTAAACCTGGCGGTCCTGGTGGTCCTTCCCGTCCTCTTTCACCCCTAGGCCCCGCAGGACCCGTCGGGCCTATTGGTCCTACAAATCCAGGAACACCTTGAGTCCCTTTTTCGCCGGTGGCTCCTTGGTCGCCTTTGGCACCGTCCAGGCCTTGGAAACCCCTGTGACCCTTAGCACCTGAAAAATTTCAATGTAGATCTTGATTGGCTAATTGAGCATTTTGTTACCTGGGAGTCCGGGAATACCAGGTATACCTCGAGGCCCTGATGGACCAGTTGCACCCATCGCACCAGCTTCTCCATCCTCTCCTCGCTCTCCCTAAAATTTAAGAAAAATAAAACAAGATTTATAATGATGGGATGTAATTACGTCTTTTCCTGGTGGTCCAGGTGGTCCTCTCAATCCAGCAGGTCCCATCGGTCCTTGGGGTCCCGGTTCTCCAAGTTCTCCTCTGGTTCCTTGGAAACCTTGCGGTCCAGTTGCACCCGGCTGACCGGGAGGTCCTCTTGCACCTGAAGGTCCTACCTGGGCTTGGAGATATTGGAAGGGCTCAACAACTTGCGGACCTTAATTAATGAAGATTTGCTTATTACAAGAATGCAAATTGCCCATATACTTTCACCAATCTTTCAGAGAAACAAACTATGAATATCAAGAAACAACTATCTCGATATTTTATGACAATTAAGTTATGTAGTAAAGTAAAATTGTTGCCACAGCTTTTACAAGCAAATGTTCACAATTACCTTTGTCGTTTGCTTGATTTGCACCCGCCAATTGAGCATAATAAGCTGTTAAATCAGGAATGGGCCCCGGGGGTCCCGGAGAGCCAGGAACACCAGCTGAACCCGGAGATCCTGGTATGCCATGATCACCAGGCCGTCCTTGTTCTCCTGGTGAACCAGTGTCTCCTCTAGGTCCAGGTAGTGGATATAAATCAACGTGAGGTTCTCTTGTAGGTCTCAGATCTTGCAGACAATCGTCATTAGTGCGACATTCGACTTTGCCTCTGACGCAAGTGCAATTCGTGCATTCACCAACCGACCATTTTTGTTTGTCTTGATAGAATCGTCCGTCGTGTCTGCAGTCAAATGCGCCGATGTGACTTTCGGAAGTTGGTTCGACAATGCTGACTCCAATGGTACCACTGGGACCTGATGTAGGGTGTTCATCAGGCAGATAAGTTGTTGCCGTATCATCGAATCGTGGACGTTCGTCCAGAGGTTGAGGTGTGGTGTTTGGACCAAAGGATGTTCTTTCTTCGTTGTAATCACCGTAATTGTTTTCGTAATCGTATTCGGTGTTATAGTCTGGATCTTGGTTTTGGATACCATCCACTTTTCTTTTGATGGTTTTGCGAGTCTTCGATCGAGGCTTACCACTTGGGAGTTCAACTGATTCTAAGTCAATTTTTGTTGGTGTGTCTTTGAGAAAATCTATGTCTTCTGGTGTAGACGATGGTTCTTGAAGAGCTTCAGTTGTAGACGATGGTTCTTGAGGAGCTTCAGTTGTTGAGGCTTTTTTGAGTTTTTTCCTTCTGACTCTGGCGTCAGAGAGAGCCAGGATACTAAAGGCCAGGATAGCTAACCATAAAAAACGTTGATAATCCATATTTTTCTAGAAAAAAAATGACCATGTAAAATATAAATTGAATTGAACGCGTTTTGCGTAATATAAAAACGATAAATCTTACGCACAAAAAGCGCTAATTAATGAATATAAAATGATTTGCTGCCAGATGAGCTAGAGCGTGTACATTAAAATGGCCTAAATACTCTATAATAGGCGAGTGTTGTGCTATTTTGATACGAAAAAAAAATTTGTATGCAAATTTATACGAGATCGATTTTAATTGATTTAACAACACAAGAACGCGCTTGGTGGCAATTGGTTTTTAATTAGGGTAACATATGGATGAAATGAACTTATTCTGAAGATTTCAATAAATTCTTATAAAATTATCGAAGCTTTGTATGTAGGTGCTGTACATTATATTTTATTACACAGTATGGTTTTCGTCCATTATATTTTATGTTCTCCTCCTGTATTTAATAATTGTTAACCAGTTTCATCTCGATGTCAAGTTTTCAATTTTCAAATTTTCAATTTTGTCAAATGAGTACAATAATAGTTATTTACCTACATTACAAGTGCGTTTATGAACATGATAACAATAACGAGTGTGAAAGAATAAAACGACGAGGTCGTAGACCGAGTCGTTCTAATCACACGACTTTTGTAGTCATGTTTAAACGCACGTGTGATGTACAACGTTTTATCTGCAAAGCGAGAAATAAGAATGTTTTTTCAATTAATTTCGTTTATTAGTAGTTGTCTACCTTCATTTTACCTTTACAGTTTTACCTTTGACATTTGTCAAATCACCAAAAATAGTTGTGTTATAGATTCATAACCTCGTCCATAACACCACTAGTTATGTTATGAATTCATAACCAAGTCTATAACACCACTAGTTGTGTTATGAGTCTCATAACATAACTCAATTACTAGAAAAATGGTTATGTAAAAACGTCATAACCAAACGCCTGAGATAAATTATCTTATAAAAGAATAAACTTTGGTTAGCTATACAAATGACAAAATAGCTGTATAGGTGAAACATAAGTGGAATGTCATATTGATAAAACCTTAGTAGAGACAATATTTAACATAGTCAATGAAGAGGTGCACATTCCTCCAATGATAGCATTTTTCAAGGATTGGGTTGTTTAAAAAAATATGAATAGGTACAATATTGATTTCATAAAAAATCCAAAGTTTGCTTTAAGGCCTGCAAGAAAAATATCCTTTGCCATACGGGATAAAGTGAAAAAAGAATTGGAAAATATGGTTAAGTTAGGAGTCATTAAGCCCGTCATAGAACCTACTCCTGCAGTCAGTCCGTTAGTAACTGTTAGGCAAAAAGGTAAATTAAGAATCTGCATAGATCCTACAGATGCTCACAAAAACATTTTAAAAAGACGTTATCCACTGAAAACCATAGAAGAAATTTCAGCCCAAATACGTGGAGCCAAATATTTCACACTTTTAGATTTCAATCGAGGGTTTTGGCGAATAAAAGTTGCAGAGCAGTCTCGAAAATATCTCACGTTTTCAACACCGTGGAGGTGTTATAGTTGCACTCGTCTACCATTCGGAATCTGTTCAGCACCAGAGGTATTTCAAGAAATAATGTGTTTGAAGACACCAACAAATATAACAGAACTGCAAAGGTCAAAGGATGCTAGGCATGATAACATATTTGAATAAATTTATACCAAATATATCTGAGCTTACAGATCCTTTGCGAAAACTTCTAAAAAGGGATGTTGAATTTATTTGGGACATAGAACAAAACGAAGCTTTCAACAAAGTAAAGGTACAGTGGAGTAGTGCACCTGTTCTAAAATTTTATGATGTACATTATCAGTATATACTAGTTCGAAAAATTTAGGAGCTGCCTTGATGTAAGAAAATCAACCCATTGCATATGCTACTAGATCATTAACACCGTCACAGCAAAATTGGCCTCAAATTGAGAAAGAAGCGTATGCAATAAAATTTTGATGAGATAAATTTCATCAGTATATAGCTGTGTATATAGGGTGTTTGGCGGAGGGTTAGCCAAACTTGGTGGGCGTATAGATAGGCCCATTTCGAAGATATTTTATATTTTCTCAATACACTAATGCCCTAAAGGTCCCCGTTTTTTTTATATCATTGTTTTTGTATTATTCTCAAGAATTTTCAAAAATTGACCTTTTAACTTCTGTGACCTTTTACCATTCTGATATTATCAAGGATACCCTACAAACCAAAAACAGACGCAACAAACATTTGCATAAATATTTAAAAAAAAGTTACGGAAGTTAAAAGGTTTATTTTTGCAAATTCTTGAGAACAAATGATGAAAAAAAGTGGAGCTTAAAGCCACAATTGCATTAACAAAATATCTTCGAAATGGGCCTATCTATAGTCTGGCTAACCCTCTGCCAAACACCCTGTATATATGGCAAGAAACTCACAGTAGAAACAGATCATAAGCCATCAGAAGCTATTTTCAAAAAACCCATTCACTTTGCGCCACCTAGGCTACAACGAATATTATTGGAAGTACTACAGAATTCACCCAAAATTATACAACAAAAAAGGTAAAGATATACCTTTATCAGATATTTTAAGCAGGGATTGTGAAGAAACTGAAAAAAATCTAGGAAACGAAGAAGAATTAGAAATACAAATTGTCCTTTCTATGACCGAGAATGCCAAGGAAGAATTAATAGAAGCTACAAAATTGGATCTTGAACTGCAATCACTACGAAAGTTCATATTAAACGGCTTTCCAAATTCAGACGATATACCCAAAAATAATAAGCACTGCGTAACTTTCAGAGACGATTTGCAGTTTACAACGAACTCATATTCAAGGGCGAAAAAATAATCGTTCCAAGATCTCAGGTAGGTACCTAAAATATTAAGAAATATTCATGAAGGCCATTTTGGTATCCAAAGTTGTCTTAAACAAGCAAGAGAACTACTTTACTGGAGAGGAATATCACAAGATATTCTTAGTTATCTTCAAAATTGCAGAGTTTGTAGAAAATATCAAAGGGCTAATCAAAAGGAAACAATTGTTCTGAAGCCACTACCAGAATTACCATGGCAAATAGTCGGTTCTGATTTGTTAAGTGTGCATGAAAATGTTTATATTACTATTTACGACAGTTACTCTGAGTTTTTGGACGTGAAAAAACTCAGAAATCAGACATCCTTGGAAGTAATCGGCTATCTCAAAGAATATTTGCAGTTCATGGAGCTCCTGGAAAACTAGAAACTGATAATGGACCGCAATATACCGCTAGAGAATTTAAAGATTTTTCCAAAAAATGGTGTTTTCAGCATGCAACATGTCCATATCATCCAAGAAGCAATGGTTTATCGGAAAAAGGTGTTCAAATTGCGAAAAATATGTTAAAAAAATGTACAAATGACAAATCAGATATCCAGATTGCTTTATTCAACTACAGAAATACACCTAGGATAACTGTCATTAGTTTGCAGAATGAAAAGTTATTGACAAATCAAATAAGAGCAAATTATTCTATTGTAAATCGATAATCAATTAATACAAATTTGAACTAATTGAAGTAATATTTATTATTACTATTTAAACCTATAAATAATCCATTTGATTGATCCCATAGATATAATGAATAATTTTTAAATTGATTTATGTATGTGGAACGCAGTTTGGGATCTTGATGGTTGATAGATGATCTAGAGTGAAACCAGAAAACTAGAACTCAGAATCGTAAGATCAGACAACTTCATGAAAATGGAGAAAATAAAAAATATTGTAGCCCTAACATGTTCGGTTACTTTGACACTTTACTAGATCTGTAGAAACAGAATGAATAATATTTTTTTTTTTTTGAATTTGATGGATTTGGGAAGATATTTACACACAAAAAAAACTTCTGTAAAAATGTTCAAAAACATTTCAAACAAAAAATATCAAATTCAAATTTTCAAAAATTACTGTTTAAAGAGATATCATAAAGTCTTACCAGTTATTCTAAGGCTTCAGGCACTTAATCCATATCAAAAAAAAAAAGAGCTGGAACTAACTGCACCAAACCACAAACAAAATTTGGGTCCCGAAGAGCCCGACCACTGGGCAGGGATTCCTTCGTATAAGAAGACGTACGCCAGTATTTATCTATCCAGAAATGGTGGGGATTCTAGTAAGTACCAAAAGATCTAGGCTAGTAATGCTAAAAGAATTACTCTGATTTTTGCTTGTGGAATAATTAATTTTCATGTAAATTAGAACAAAAAATATAAATTGATTTGAGCTAGGTCAAGGATTTTTTCAGTTAGTATTTATGATAACAATTTTTTTTTCAATTTCATGAATCCAGATTTAATTTGAAATTGCTTCATTATGTCAATTTTCTATTTAGTCAAACTCCATTAATTATTAAGTTATTATTCCGTTTCATTTGGGCCGCCAACAAATTGCGCTCTTTAGATCTTGTTCAGCCGTTTAATTATCCCTCTTTTATATACTTACATTTTACATTAGTTCCTAAATTAGGTTTCATGCTTTTGAGAATATCTATTAATAGAACAATTGCATAATGCGTTTTATTTATAATTATGCATTTATGGATTGCGTGTGGAATTTAGTTTTTCGAATCTCTGTTGTTTCGATCGTTTATGGATATAACGACAACAGGGCGAGTTTTTAATTAAAAATCTGATTTGGCCTATTAGCATAGTACGAGTAGGAAGCGATCCACAGATGCCGAACCGTATTCGCAATACTTAATTATTTCTCCAGATCTGTATTGACTCATTAATTTTTTTTCTTGGCCTTAAAAATGTTTTAGGATAGACGATCTGGACAAGAAAGAATTACAGAGAAGGAATATTTGTTTCCAAAGACCTTTCATTTTTCACGCATGTTTTCGTTCGAAATGATGGTGTCAAAAAGTCACTACAAGCATCTTATGATGGACCATTTAAAATTTTAAATAGAAAAGATACATATTTCACGATTGATATCAATGGAAAAGCTAGTAGGTACTGTCTATTGAGAGACTCAAGCCAGCTCATTTTGACTAGTTTTTGTGGTGGTAAACCGCTCTTTACTGTTAATTTTATTTTATTTATTTTTTTGTGTCTTAAAGTGTTGAAGAAGGGAGGGAATGTAGTGATACAAAGAGTGATAGCAAAACTGTACATACTTCAATTACTTAGATAGTAGGTATACCAGTATAGACAACTTATGTTAACTAATTGTGACAACGAATGACAACTAATTTTAGATTTTTTTCTGCGATTGACGAGAAATGTCACCATTTTTGACCGATTGACAGGTCGCAAAACTCAATATTCTGATGTTTTAATTATGTTTCAATAGTTGCTTAGGAATCAATGAATAACAATACGGGAATCACTTTTCCGGCATAGGCCGGGAAAGTGATTCTCGTATTGCTAAATATTTTGAACAACAAGACAAACATTTCGCACATTCTCGTGCCTTCGGTGTTTGCCGGCCTCCAACTTACACCGTCGGCCGAGAATGTGTCACTTTTCCACTTAAATACGCAATAGGTACCTATATTATTTTAAGGCCGCCTTAATGTCCGCCATGTTTAAATTTAGTTTTTGAAAATGACGACTGCGCCACTCTACTCATACGGTTCAATATTTTATTTTTTGTCCCAAACAAAATCTGTTTGCCGGTGAAACACTTAGTTAAAGAGAAAGACAAATATACAATATAGAGAGTTATTGGAATTATTAAATACTGCCTCGCAGTATTAAGGAACTACGTTATTTTATTAGCGCATCAGCACTATTTTTCCAAGAAAAAAACAGTTATTGGAAGACTGTAGTAGGTGCTAGAGTATTACCTTATTTTGTATTCATAATTTTGACAGCTGATAGCTATGTTTATAAATTTCAGCCTCAAAAAGTGTTTATTTTTGTTTGTGATTTTCTGCTGATACCTATTTTTTGATGTTACCCACAATTAAATGAAAAACTATTGTAAAAAATTAATGTTCCAAGTAAAATTACGTCATCATCGAAAAGCGAAACGTCAAAGTCGTCCAAAATGTCAGAAATTTGAAATAAGGGAAGTTTAGTGCCTCGCACTAACCATACACAAATAAAGTCAAGCAGTAACCTTATTAAGGGAATCCTTATTTTCGGACCCATATGCGCATGCGTAGATGTCAAAATAAGGCTAATTCAAATACTGCTTGTCCTTATTGCACGTCCAATAACTCTCTAATTATGATGCTCCCAATGTAGCTTTTTTGCCGTGGCGCCATCTACTTGAAATTGCTTGAACTGTAACTGTAAATTTTTACCAATTTTCACCTTCAAAATTCGTTATAAGGTCATCTCAAAAAATCCGTAATAATTTCCAAAATCCTTTGGCATAAACATTATTTGATATATTATCTACAAGATCTACAATTAGCTTTTTTTAGTTTTTCGTGATTATCAATAAAATATATATGCTTTTCATGGATCCAAGCTTGATAAACTTGCAAATATGCAACCACCAATACATTTAGTTGTTTTGGTGGTTGCGAACATGATTTTTGAATTTAAAAAAAGGCAGAATATTGAAAAACTAAAATAAGGAATTGTAGATAATCGATCAAATAATAGAGACTTTTTGCACCCCTTGAAATAACAGCAGTTTTTGGATCAGTTATGGTTACCTTTATCGGCGATAACGATTACCACGACCTTCAAAATCAGAGATTTTGCATCGCCTAACGTTTACATATTTCCGTTATTTCTATTTTGCCTCTGGGCCATGAACTGCACCTGCGCCTTCAGATGTAAATCAATTTCATAACATCAAAATGATAATCCACACTTATTTTTTCAGAATTTCAGATTATTTTAATTAATTAATAATTATTCACTAAAACGAGATGAAATCTATTCAATTTTCTTCAATGTGGCATCCACACAGTTTTACCATAACTATAGGTATAGCTATAAGCACAAGGTTATTCCTCCTTAAATAACGCCGCTTGTTGTGGTTGAGAAGTACAACGAACATTTTTTAGCTACTGCACATACTCAGTATAACGATAACGACAACGGAATGGCAAAATAAGAGGTGCAAAAAGTCTCTAATGTTTATGCCAAATTTGAGCAAATTCTGATGTGCTGTTTTTTTAAAGACCTTAAAACAAGTTTCGAAAAATCAACCAATCAGAGCACTGCATTCTCATCATTGTTGCGGCCTTAATAAACTCCCAATTAATTCTTACACTAACTACGTTTCTGGTTTGAAGAATCGTTAGTCTAAATTTTGTGGTTGTGGATTGAGGTAGCAAAACATCTAAAACACAATTTTATAATCTAATTTAATCTTTATATACAAATAACATATTTATTCCATCAATCCCAAAGATAGTTCAAGCCAAATTAAATTCTTTCAGGGCACTTTGCATAATGGTATCTTTCACTGCACAGAATACAAGCTTAATATTTTCAGTATCTAGAAAAAAGAAATTTAAACAAAAATTTCCAAATAGATATAGCAAATACCGGTAGCCGTTGTAAAATGTGAATAACATGCCCTTTCAGGATCAGGATTCTCTTTCAAGTACATTTTCAACATGTATTCTCTTGCAGCAATATGATCTTGCTTCTGGCCTGAGACCAATCAAAATAAATAAGTAATTTATCAACTAAAAGTTTTACCTTCAAAATCGGGAAAATAATCAATCAAATGCGACGTCATAATTTTTTCCTCCAGCAAATCCTTTTTATTCAAAAACAAGATAATCGAAGAATTTTGAAACCACGGATAAGTTATAATGGTTTTGAAAAGGGCTTTGGACTCTTCCATACGATTTTCGTTTTCCGATTCGAATAAAATTTGATCGTATTCACTTAGAGATACTAAAAATATGATTGAAGTTACGTTTTCGAAACAATGAATCCATTTTCTTCTTTCTGAACGCTGACCGCCAACATCTACCATCCTATAGAAAAAAAATATCATCAATTTGTTTTTATTTTGTTGAAAATTATTACCTAAAAATTATACTATCCAAATCAAAAGGATATTCAAGAATCCCTGTAGTGGGAGCTCGAGCTCTTAGAATGTCTTGTTCTGAGGGTAAGTAACCTTCAGCTCTGATCCTATCAAGATCAGAAAGATAACTGAAATATTTCATTAAACCATCATGATCAGCCAATTTAAAACGTTTCTTACTATTTAGCTGAATCTGTTAATTGATACTCTCGCCTTCTATCATAACATTCCTGGACCCCACTGTCATTCCACAAATCTTGGATTGCATCGGCGTATGAAGCTTCAAACGAAGTAACTGTTTCATAATCGATATCTTTAACCAGTTCAGCTTTTTCCTAAGCAACCAATATAAATCTTACTATTGCAATTGTAGTTGAAAAAATCATTACCTCATTAGCTTTGTCTCCGTATTGTATGTTCAATAAATCCATAGCTTTAAGCATACTTTGCATGGCCATAAAAATATTTTGGAAAATCAATTTGACAAAACTTATTTTGTCTTCTTCTGAGTAACCGGCTCCGTGGATAATGCGCATTTGTTTGATGAAGGTTGATTTTCCAGATTCACCAGTACCTGGGAGAAGAAGGAAGAGTTTAGATTTTTGTTATATATATATATATATTTTTTTTTTGAAGTGCAGGCTTTTAAGTTTTTGTACTCACCCAATAAAAGTAGCTTCAATTCCCTTCTAGCGTCCCTTTTATCCCTTTTCAATTGCTTTTCAATTTCCGCATTAATCCTTTTCTGTTCTTTAGCTTCTTCAGATTGAAAACACGACATTTTTTAGAATTTTTTTAGAATTTTGTGCATGTCTCTTATCAAAAAAGGAAACAACGATATTTGTGTTAACCGACTGTTTTATCGACAGATTTAGTTACCATCGGGCTTGTATTAAGTTAATCTTGTTACAATAACTCGATTGCGGAAGCCTTAGAAACAAATGCTTACTACATTGTAATTTAAAGTTAAATTTATTTTGTTGTCGTGTTTTCAAATAAGATCAATGCTAATAATGAACAATAAACAGAAAAATCTAATCTTTAAAATCCTACAGAAAAGCAAACTTGCTGCGGAAACAATAGAGTGAAAATCTTTAAGCTAAATTCTATTTCTGAAGGAAAAAATCTATAGGGAAGCAAATATGCTTGAAGAGAAAATTTCTTATGAGAAATTAGGATTATGAGGAATTTCGGAATTTCTTCTAAGAGTTAATTCTAATTAGGTACAGAAATTCTCTTTGAAGTAAACTTGAGGTTGCTAAATCTTGATCCTCAGTTACCATTCCATGGCCAATCCAATTTTGAAATTCTAGCATTTGCTTAGTAAACTAACTATCAGAATGCACTTAGGTACCTACAGTACCTATGCTTGAATAGCAAATTTGTTGTTGGTGACTAGAATTTACTGGAGTTTAAATTCTGCTTTCAACAGCAATATTTATTTTCCATAGGCATATTCATCAACTTTGAAAGGCTAGAATTGAAGGCCGGATTCTAGAATCTTTCAAACAGTGAATTCTAGAAATGAGAATCCTCTTTAAATAAGATAAGAAAAATCCTTCCACTAATTTTGTATATTCTCGTATAAATGTCCATTTGTAGGTCCATCGAGTGTACGTCACTGGTGTCACCCTATTTTTTCGATCCCCTAAACCTTCCCCATTAATATGAATGTGATCCCATGTAAATAAGTTTTTGAATAATTGTTATCTGATTCAATGGCGGCTCGTCAGAGGAGGCAGAGGAGGCTAAACCAAAAGTGTATCTTTATCCTTATATTTTACATAATTTTAGAAAAAGATGCGGATACGCTCACTGCGCACTGATTGACAAATGGAAATTGTCATAAAATACCTGCAGGTCGCATTTTGACATGACAATTGAATAGAAGCCGCTGATTGGTGGAAAGGTGGAATTCGAGGTGGGATTTATTTTTTTGCAGCGTTGCTAATTTTCATTGAAAAATAATCGCTTTCCACGTGTTAGAGAAAGATACAAAATAGCTCAAGGACAAGTAGTGGGGAGAGATGCGGTTCCTGGTATGTAGTCAACCGATATTATTGTTTATTGTTCTGTCTATCTGTGTTAATAGGTCATTGGCCAAACCTCCCGCAAAAAATTGAAAATGCAATCTCAATTTTTTATTCCTGATTTCTAAATAAAATAATAATTCACAAATTACACAACAGAATTCCAATTTTCGATATTTCAATGTAATTTAGAAAAATCTGACAACATTATTTCAATCAGTCCCGCGCCTCCACGACAAAAATCTGTGAATCTGGGATACTCAGTAATACCGGCCCGAAGGGCCGGAGTTATATGCTAGCCCGAAGGGCCGGAGTAATATGAGCCCGAAGGGCTAGAGTTATGCGCGAGCCTGAAGGGCCGGATACGCGAGCCCGAAGGGCCGAAGTTATACGCGAGCCCGAAGGGCTAGAGTTATTTTAATCACGGGACCCAGTCTATAATTCTATTGGTCAGCGGATAATTTAGAGCCAATTAAAAACCGGGAGTATTTAAAATGCGATTTTTAGCGTCCGATCAAAAAGTCGGGAATATTCAAAAACTTTAGTTTCATCAAAATGACTTTGGAATGTTGGTTTTTATAAGATTTTTACTTTTTTCAGAAAACGGTGGTTTTTGCAAACATATACTACTTTATCGTTGTCTTTATCTTACTCACTTTAATCAATAAGGAAACCTTGTAATGTCATTTTCAAACAAAAAACTCTTTTGAAATGTTATTTTTGTTTTCCGAGATGTGATGTGGCAACGTTGCTTTTAGTTGGCCATTTTGAAGTGACATCTTGTGATTATTTGCCAGTTTATTTTTTTCGAATTTTCGACTTTTCCGGAGTTTTTTATTGGAAAAAAGCGATTTAACATACGAGGTTTTGTGTTTTCTAAATTTTTTAGTAAAAATTTCTAGTTTTTAATGCCATAATTAGCAAAATCCCATTTAAAATGCTTTTGATGTGGCAACATCGCTTGTGGCTAATTTCAATCAAGGAAGCATTTTTGACAGTCGGCCATTTTCAATTGACGTTTTTACATTTTTATTCAGTTTTTCTTCGAATTTCCACTTTTCCGGGGCTTTTTCAGTCGGGAAAACTGATATAAAGTACGAGGCTTTGAGTTTTCTTCATTTTCCACCAAAAATGTCCAGTGTTTCAACGTAAGTTAGAAAAATTTTAGTTTTATCAAGTAGGTTTTGGAATGTCATTTTCGTTGGTTTTTTTTTTGAATTTTTATTTAATGTTTTTGGGGTCCGGGATCGTTTTCTATTACTTTTTTTCTCGAAATTTACAAAATAAAAAAAAAAACGTTTTTTAACGTTGACAGCTGTCAAATTTTTTTGACACAAATCGATAGTTGGCGTCGTGAAATTGCCTTGTACCGGGGTTAGATTTTCGTAGCTTTTATAGTAGAGCGGGGAAAAAGTCGAACAGGTGACATCTGTAGATATTGCCAAAATGACGTGCGACAAAAGTTTTATCCGAACGAACCCGTTCATTGTTATCTGATTTTTCATACTCCGGCCCTTCGGGCCGTAATCTTTGAAACAAAAAGACGTCATTTTGTATCGATTGTCAAAAAGACCCAAGGTTTGAAAATTCAATTTTTTGACGTTTCTTGTATCATGAGCAGTGTTGCCATATATATTTTTTCAAATCTCGAGCTCGAAGGGCCGAGATTATGATTATAGGTTAATTTAAAGCCAATCAAGAGCCGGGAATAATCAAAATTCGAATCCCCAAACCAATCAGGAGCCGGGAAAATTCGAATTCCAAACCCGACGGGAAATTGAATTTTTTGTACCAACTGTTGCTACATGTTGTTACATAGATCTCCCCCTAAAACCCACTAAAAAACGACCTTTGTTTATTGGAAAAGACAAAATATTATTTTTTTCAGATTGACAGCTGTCAAAATGTTAATGGGCATATAGATTTAGCCTCGGAGAATACGTAGGAAGTACCAATTTTTTTTTTTTAACATATGTCAAAAAAGACGTTCGGCGTTGCCAGCCGGTTGGTTTTTGACATATATCGATGAAACTTCTTATTTAAGGGTTTTCGGAGCCTGGGGATCGTTTTCTAACATTTGTTTTTTTAAATAAAGAAAAAATAAAAAAATTTGACATTGACAGTTGTCAAAATGAAAAAAAAAAGCCACATGGACATATAGATTTAGCCTCGGCGAATACGTAGAAAGTAGCCAAACAGGGCCAATTATTTGACGTTTGTTGTATTATAAGCAGCGTTGCCATATGTTTTTATCAAATCTCGATTTATAGGTTATTTTAAACCCAATCATTGACATTTCAGAAAAATATTTCCTTTAAAATTCCCAAATATCCTTTGGAAACCCCAAAAATCTGTTAAAATCTCAGAATTCCATAATTTAGTGGAATTTCGGTAGAATAATTATGTTATTCTGAAAAAGGAATTACATGTGAAATTTTTGCAGAGTTTCCATAGAATTCACATTAAATTTTAATTCCTCTCGAATTACTTGAAATTTCAGTGAAATTCCGATCGAATTACACGAAATCCTAAATGAATTACATGGAGGAATTTTAAACAATTACATAAAATTACACCTAAATTCCCAACATAAAATTTCACTTTTTACTGAATTTTAGTATGCCGAGGAATTTCCAGCTAACAACATGGAATTCCGGTGATATTCTGAAAAATTACCATATAATGGCATGAAATTTCAATATATTTCGGTGAATTTTTAAGAAATTACTTGAAACTTTATTTAAAGAAAATTTCAGTGAAATTCCGAAAAATTCTTATGAAAATAAATTAAATTTTGAAAATTCCTTGAAATTTCAAGAAATTTTCGGTTATGAACGTGGGTATTCGCATAAAATTTTAGTGAATTCGGAGAAATTTGTAAGAAATTACATGAAATTCCGTAGAATTTTAAGAAAATTTTGTGGAATTCCAAGATATTTCAGTGGTAAAATTTTCAGGAATTTTACTAAAGTTAAAAAAAAAAAATATGGAATTTTGAAATTGAAATCTTAGTGGAATTCCGAAGAATTTCATGATGTAATTCCGAGAAAATTTTGTCCAAGAATTCCATAAAATTTTCTAATGAAATTTTAAGGTATTTATTTCTATGGAATTACTTAAAATTTTCGCGGAATCCCATGGAATAACTTAAAATTTTAATGGAATTCCAAAGAACTTTGATGAAATCTTCGAGAGGTTTTTCCCCCAATTAGTTTTCCAGAAAAACTTTGAAAGTGTGAGATTGTATTTTCCAAGAGGCAAAACCACCTTGGAATTCTTTGTTAAAAACTTAGGGAATTTATAGGGAATTTGAAAAAAAATTATGGGGAATTTGGAGGATTGTGTTCGATGTTGGACAAATTCCAAGGAATTCTCGTCGAATTACACCTACATGAAATTCCTTGAAATCTTATTGTGGAATTTCAGTGAAATTATATCGAAACCGAAAAATTCTCTCGGAATTAAACAGAATTTTCGTGGAATTTCCATGCAACCACGAAAAATTTCAGCGGAATTCCGAAAACTTGAATTAAATTTTAGTGAAATTCTGAGTAATTTCTGTCGAAATTTCATGAAATCTTCTACTGTAATTTCGAGGAATTTTTGTACAAGAATTCCATTGAATTTTATGGTGGAATTCGGAAAAGTATTATGAAATTTTATGATAAAATTTCTAGGACTTTTTGTTTTTCTGTTCAAATTTGTCATTTGAATGGAATTTCGAGGATTTCCATAAAATCTTCTAGTGAAATTCTAAGGAATTTCTATGGAATTAACGAGAATTTTCGCAGAATTCCCATGGAATAATTTGAAATTTTGGAAAAACTCGTAAGATCTACTCAAAATCACTGAAAATCTTTAAAATCTTTTAGCCTCCTCACTTGAAATAGTCACGAGCCGCCACTGATCTGA